AGATGGAGAGTTGGCTGTCTTCTACTTGATGAAAWAGCCACATTTGGCCACCCTTCTAAGGATGTCATCCATGCTAAGACCTCTTAATAATTCTTGTATTTGCATTTTATGAATCATTAACTATTATAAAGCTTGACCACAACTGCTTCAGTCCAAAATTATATTCAAAAGTTCTAGAATTTCTTTCTTCCTCCCTATCAAAAAAAAAAAAAAAGAAAAGAAAAGAGTTTCTTTCTTCCTGCTACGACCATAAGACTGTAGCATACTGTGGTCCTTTTCTTAATAGGCAAAAGGGCACATATGACCACCTCAAAGGACTTTTTAGATGGATATTAAATATCTTTCTTGTTTAGGAAAAACTTAATACCTAGAAAAGGCTATGATAAGGCCCAGTCACAGTATGAATGTCTCGGCTCAAGGTAGATCCAATAAGTCTCAAGCCCATACCCAGGCGGGCAGCCCCAGAACCATTAACTTGGTGTCTCCACTCAGATATGTCTATACTAGAAGGCATGTCAGCCTTAGTTTGTTTTGAGATTTAACTATCACATGAAGTTGATGTAAAAGGGTATATAAGCCCACTATATGAGTCATGAATGAAGGGAAAATTCCACTTTAGTACCCTGAACTTTGGAGGTAGTGTCAAGTTAGTACCCAAAGTTCCAAACGTGTCACTGCAGTACCTAAACTTTCAAAAAGTGTCAAGTTGGTCCCAGCTGTTAACTGACTGTCAGTTATCTGTTGACACATTTGAAAGTTTGGGTACTAACTTGACACTACCCCCAAAGTTCAGGGTTCTAAAGTGGAATTTTCCCTTGAATGAAAGACTATCAATTGTTTAATTGGTAACTTTCCTCTAGTAATGGTAAAAAATGTAATATTTACAATGATTTTTTTGGTAATAAAATAAAATTATTAAAAGGAAAAAAGAAAGTACAAAGGAGAGTGACAAAAGAAAAAACAAACTTCAACCCCCAAACAAGAACTCCAACCCAAACACACCTTAGCATAAGACCAGCAGAAACCCAAAAGGCCAACAATCCACCTAAAACAAACCCACTTCAAACCTGACAAAAACAACACCCTCTCTCAACAAGACTAGGAAGAAAACCACCCTAAAAAATTGCGACCTTTAAACCAATAAACCACTAAAATCTTCTTGAGGCTTTCTTGATCTTCAATTACTTATCGCTTGGCTTAATTTCAAAGAGATTTCCTTTTAGTCTGCCAAAAACCTTTGAAACCAAAACATCTCAATGCTTTGTTTGTTTTATAAGTCTTCTCATTGATCCTTTCCAGTTCCAGAATTGTGTTTTTCTCAAAGAACTGGACATCAACCATCGCTGCATCTTTTTCAATATTAGCTTCTTGCGGTCTAGTTGTACTCAAGTCATTGTGGCCCTCATCAAACTATGGTGGATACTCTTGAAGATCTCCAACATTCTTTCTTACAGGCATCTTGTAGCTTTCCTCCAACTCTTGAAACATCTCAGGATTTAGCCGGCATTTTCCCTTTATTTCTTCTCCTTTCTTTATCTCCATCTGCTTCTACAGATTGAGGAACAATTGTAACAGGGTGGAGCCCCTTCTCTGACTGTTCCTCTATCCTTTCCAAGTTTGAAGAGTTTTTCAGGATCACCCTAGAAATCTGAGAATTGTTTGGCTGGTCTCCTCTTTCTAAGTCCACCACTTTATCCAACTCCAGATCCTCCCCCCCCCCCTATCTTTCCTCTCCTTTCTTTATCTCCACCTCCTTTAGCAATTTTAGAGTCAATCGAAATCACTGCACCCTAACATCTGAGAGTTTCTCTGACTCCTTAGCTAAACAAGGGAAAATGAGGCAACAATTGTTTTGGGCATCCATGTAATTTGGGGATTGCAAGTAGGGTTTGATACTATGGTTAAAAAGTTGTACTAATCATTTCTTTATTCCAAATATTTTAATAAAGTCACCTTTCTACTGATAAAAAAAAAGACTTGGGGTAGATTTGCCGTATTTGAGCAAGGAGTAAGCATCTTGTTTTTATCATATTGTCACCACAATAGGGCTATGTGTGTTAGAATTGAAAATGTAATATTTGTAGCTCTGGTTTAAGAATCCATTAGATAGATGCGAGTTTGTCTATAGTCAGTCCAAAATTTCTCTGCAAACTTACATGTATTGTCTTTGCAGCCACAACCCATTCAGGCTTATTGGAGTTGGATTAACAGTTTGGACCTTAGCTGCAGCTGGTTGTGGTTTTTCTTTTGACTTTTGGTCTATTACCATATGTCGCATGTAAGTGCACCTGTGATAGCATGTTAAAAATTGAAGGTTTTGTAGACCTTGAAAGCACGACTTTCTTATGCCAGCACTGGTATTCTTCTGTCCATTTAGGTTGGTTGGTGTTGGTGAGGCTTCATTCATTAGTCTTGCAGCTCCATTTATTGATGACAATGCCCCAGTTGCTGAGGTTTGGTTCCCAACTGTTTTGTAACATTGTATGACTGTACTTCATCACTTGTATTCTACTTTGAGATCATCATTCGTGTCATAGACTAAACTTTTTTTTGATAAGTAATAGCAATTTTATTAATTAAAAATTAATTAAAATCAAAGGATACATAGAACAAAATCTCCACGACGAGGTGCGAGGTGTAGCCTCTAAACCATACCACAAAGCTTACAATTGAGCCCAAAAAAGCTGATTCCTATGTACCCCTTGTTCGGATAGAAAATCTGCCAATCCATTTTCCGATCTTCTTTCCCATTGAACTTCTCAAGGCCCCTCTATAGGACCAGACAACAGTCTCCGGATCTTTCAGCCCACCCAAACCAATTGTGAAGATATAGCTTGATGTACACTATTAGAGTAGTCCTTGTTGTACAGTATCGTATTCTTATTATTTTATTTGTTCTTTTTATCTTTCAGCCCTGTAAGGGCATTCATGTAAATGTACATATCTTTTTATCTCTTTAATATAAAAGAGACTCTTTGGGGTGGGAGTCGACTATTCTGGACACCCCTAGATCTGTTTTCTTCTTGCTCTGAATTCAGTTCACACCAATAACCAGTTTAGAGCCACCTTGAATTATCAGATGTTCCCCAGCCAATTCCTTCCCAATCTCTGCTCCTTGTAGCATGGCTTGGACTTCTGCATTAACTGAGTTTCCCACACCAATAGGACCAGAAAATAAAGCACAATCTGGCCCTCAGCATTTCTGAACAGTCCCCCAATTCCAGATGGCCCTGAGTTACCTAGACTACTACCATCAAAATTTAGTTTAACAACACCTTCTTCAGGGGGCCTCCACTCCACCACAGATTTATTTCTAGCAACAGAACTTTTGGCAACTTGCTTCTAATTTCTCCAAATGTCATCAAAGGAGAAAGGTAAGTAGAGGTCCAAAGACTTTACCTAGTTTATGGCTAAACTTGTGTAGTAATTTATATCCCTTATATGCTGATAGGGCATATTAAAATGGGAGTTCCTTTCTGTTTTTTTAGTTGTTTTTTTTTTTATATTTTGTACATTAATAAGTGGTAGAGAATGAGAAGATAAATAGTCGAATACAAAGGAGTCAACCAAAAGTAGAAGACAGGGGCTGAAAACCAAAGCAACAACCAATAGCACATAATCCATTAGAAATAATATCCATTGAAGATTGAACTTGTATTGCCTCTAGTTTCAAGCTTCATTGAGTCCATTGGTAACACAATTCAAATTCAAACCTTGTTTCAAGCATGTAGTTTATGGATTAAAGAAAAAGAAAACAATACAACAAGGTGACAAGATAGCACCCACACAAAATTCAACACCAAAACCTCAGAACCCTCCAGCCCTTTGATAACAATGTTTTTTATTTTATTTTCTTTTATTTTATTTCCAACCCTTAAACAAACTACAACCTCACTACCAAGACCTAGAGCATTCAGATCCCAAAAAAATTCTTCTCCCTATACCATTGATCCAGGAACATCCCTCATATAATCCCTTTGCGATTGAGATCTCCTCTTTAGTGTTTTCAGCTTGCTTACTTGGACTTCAGTTTCAACTACCCTTTCCAGGTCCACCTGTTTTTCTATTTTTCTTATTTTATTGATAACTATCCTCTTCCCCCTCTTTTTATTCTCATCTTCTAATTCTTCCTCGTCCTCCAACACTTCCTTCCTTTTTAACATTACATTTTCTTTTTGAGCATCGAGACAAGGCCCCATTTTCTGTTTCTCTGCCTCTTTCTCTGCTCCAATGTGCCACCTTATTATATCAATCAATTCCTCTGGGGTTTGTATTTTATTTGAGAAGATTCTAGCATTTCACTATTCTCATGTTGTCCATAGAATTTCTACTCTTGCACATCTCTATAAAATCATCCCCCTCATTAAGAGGGGTGAAATAGGCTAGAATGTCCACTTGGAACCAGATAAGGAAGTTATTCTAAATACTAATAAGAGAAGTGGGGATTAGTAAATGATAAAGGTTTTGACACCTTGCTTTGCATAAAAGTACATCTGGGGTTTGTGGTACCAAGAAGGTCTTCTTTTCTAAAGGGCCTCAGACGTGCTAATTAGGGGTGTTCACGGGTCGGGTTGGGTCGGTTTCTTGAGATTTTCCCAACCGACCCGACCTGGTCGGGTTAGCTAAGGTGGGAACCGAAACCGACCCACTGACAGGCCAAACTGACCTGGTCGGGTTGGGTCGGTTTCGGTTTTGCTCCTGTACAAAGCCAAATAAAATCTGATTTAGTTGATAATTTGATATTCAAGAGTCCAAGATAAATCTAAATTTAATTCAGGTAAAGAATAAAATCAATAAATTCTTCATGTAAAAATAAGTGTCAATAATGGGCCTTCTAGAGTAAAAAACTAGGTAAATTTAGGTAGGTAAATCAATAAAATAAAAATTTAGAAACCTTCTAAATTCTAATCTAGGTAAAAAACTAAAAAAGGACACCTAATTGAATTCTAATTGTAATTGCCTAATGGGCGTTCTAGAGTTCTAGTTCTAGTAGAAGATTATTAGGAATTAGGAAACTATTCAAACTAGGAAGTAGGAACTACCAAACTAGTAGAATACTAGTTCGGTTCGGGTCGGGTTGATTTCGGTTTTCACGCAAGAAAACCGAAACCGACCCGAGATTTCGGTTTATGTATGTGCCCAACCCGAAACCGACCGGTACGAATGAAAACCCGGCCGACTCGGGTTGGGTCGGTCCGGGTTGGGCATTCTTATGAACAGCCCTAGTGCTAATCTGCAAGAGTTTAACCTTCCAACAGAAGACTCTAATCTTAAAGGGTGTTGGACCCAACCATGTGCATTATTGAAAATTGTATCTTGCACATTAATTGGCAACTGTATTTTCATGTCCACATGGTGGCTTTGGCATAGTAGCCAAGTAGCTTAGTATTTGCTTGTCTCCCTTTTATGTGAATCTAATTGTTATGGTTAATATATATGATGAGTAGCAATTGTAGATTAGTATTGCTAACTTATTCCTTTTTTCCCTTGTTAGTTATTGTTATCAGAAAATTTTGTTTGCTTAGCATTTAAGGGAGCTGCATAGCAGTAAAAAGTTGTTTTAGTTTCATTTGATCATTGACTGAATGTTTTATCTTATTAACTTCTGTTTCTTATTTTTTCCTTGTTATTGTGTCAGAAAACAGCATGGCTTGCAACCTTTTACATGTGTATACCCACTGGAATTGCACTTGGCTATGTTTATGGTGGATTTGTAAGTTCATCTTCTTGGACTATGGTTTTTAATGGCTTCTTTTCTTTTTCTCTCTTTTCTTCTTGGTTTAATATACTCTAATAAATTGTAACTAATAGGTTCAACCTAAAGTTCTTGATGTCATTTACTTTTCTTTCTCTGATTTTCAGGTTGGAAATCATTTTAGTTGGCGATATGCATTCTGGGGAGAGGCAATTTTGATGTTTCCCTTTGTCATTCTAGGTTTTGTTATGAAACCTTTGCAGTTAAAAGGTGCAAACTTTATTATGCATTCATACCATTGGTTTGGTTTTATATGATCTTGTGGGAACCTTAAGATGTTCAACAATTTGAAACTACAGGTTTTGCTCCTGCTGAATCAAAAAAAGCACTGGAGTCTATAGATACAGTTGCTATAGAAGTTGAAGGTGAAATATTTTTTTGATTCCTTTTGTTTAATTAGTCTAATGTTGAGTGGTTTTATATAGTCGATACACATGTTACTCTCTTATGTTGAAGCTTCTTCTTCACCTCGCATACATTTTGTAGTGAAGTTTGGGCACAAGGTGATCTAGGAGTTCTGTCATTTTTTATGTACAAGGTGCCCCTAATCCCTTCAGGATATGCAGCATAGGCCCTTAACCCTTTTGCTTGGTATTAAGTATATCAGATTACAATTGGGCCCAATACAGTTCACCCCTATTGAACGCTTGCTTGGCTAGCATTTCTATTTAAATGTTTCCTGAATCAATGATGGAATATCATGTCAGAATTGAAATCATCCATGGATAATGGGGGTTGATTGATACTTTTTTTTCCAAAGGTGAATAAAAGTTCAGTTTGTATTTTCTACCACCTGCATGCTGGGCTGTTCCCAGCTTACAGGTTTCTGCCATTATCTACTTTTGATAGCTGGGCTGGGCAGAGCTTCCTGATATAAGGTATTCTTGGTTTCTACCAATTTAGTTCAGCAGGAAAATAAACTCCAAGTTTCCAAAAATTCTTTTGAAAACTGGTAAGAATAATGTTTTCAAATTCCTTTGAAAATTGTCCAAACAAGTGATTCTAATTGGATATTTGGTTGGGGCTTTTGGCAACAACAAGGGAAAGTCGAGGAGTTTGTTGCATTTCCACCACTATGTCTCTTTGACCAAATTCAATATCATGTGGCAACTTGAAACCATCCATAACCACTCAAATATCATTGTCATGGTGTTACCAAATAAAAATATACAAGATACAGCTTGATATTTCTCTAAAATTGGATAATTATTGAAAATATCGCATGATAATGAAGTCCTTTGTTTCACAGGATTTCAGGCTCACTCAACTGCTAACTAGTAATGGATTTGAATATGAACTTTTTTCTACAATTCTTTACGTGTTTTTGGTTGATGGGAAATCATTTCATGGAGTATCCAGAGTTCTACTGTTAGCCAAAGTTATGGCCTGATTTGTAATGTAGATAATCAAGAAAGAGAAAAAAGAATATAAGGACAGAAGAGGTATATAGACATATTCATGAATATTTTATGTCTGAACTCTTAATATTCTCCCAAAAAACTTCCATGTCTCTGGATGTATTGTAAGGTTTATACTGTTTGATTCTTTTTGTGATTTTTTAATAAATAACAGAAACTTTTCAATAAACATGACCACCACACTGCACACCATATTGTTTGATTCTTTTTGTTAAATCAATTTCTATCACTTTAGTAATGACTAGCTGTTAATTGCAGATTCAGGGGTTTCAAATAATAGAGATGGTTTAGTTGCTGTAAATGAGAAACTCAATGAGTGCAAGTCAAGGAAATCTTCACTGTGAGTGGCTCCCTCGTCAAGCTTTTATAACATATGCCCGCCTGTGTATGGTTGTGTGTGCATTCATACTGCATATAAAAAATTGCATAGTGAAACTGTTAATATCAACAAAGTTTTTGTTATCTACCAAATTACTGTTATAATATAATTAGCTACTAATATATTACTGTTATTCTTTTTTTTTTGATAAATGTTAATATATTACTACTTAACCTTTTAACATCTCAGTTATCAATAAACCCATGAAAAACAAATAGTCGATTTATGGCACCACTGGATCCAATCTACAATTATCTAGGAGATTTAAAGTCTCTTTTATAATCAATAATGAAAAATTTATTATCCAAGAAGATGAAATGCCAAGAGTGGGTCCTTGTAAGGGAGCTCGTAATACAACCTAAATAACAGAAAACAGAAAATATAAATGCAATAATACCATGAATATAAAACATGATCTCTGTAGAATATAATGACCTGAGGAGAAAAGCCTGCCAACTATGTTCTTTGCTTAACTCTGAATAGGAAGCTATTCTCTTTGGAGGCATAAACGCTTCTATAATATGATGTCACAATGACCAAAAACCTATATAGCAGCACTTTGTTCCAGAAGTGGTGGGGTTAGGAGGTCCAGAGAGGGTTAAGTTGTTATCCCCAATTTAGAGGCTTCAGTTACCAGCCTCCAGAGGGTTTGTGAGTCTCAACATGGCAAAGAAATAGGGAGGATACACTATTCTTTGCTCCTGGTTACCTTTGTGTATATATTTGGGTAGCTATGTCATCCCATCCATAATTGTTTTGTCACCTAGGTAGCATGTAGGCACCTGCATTGGTGATGCCTTAGCAATTATATGTCAAAGTATGGTTGTATGGCATCTCTTGGGTCATTTGGAGAATGAACTATTAGCTTAGAAGCATGGACTGCAGCGCTTGAAAGATGCTTAATTATAGACTAGCTGATAAGAAGAGGGATGCCTCTGCTTAGCACTCTATGTTCTTTATGTAATGATTCCCCGGGTCCTCAAATCATTTCTTCATCCGTTGCAGCTTTTCTAACCAGCTGTGGACAATGACATTGTCCTGTTTTGGTGTTCACTTTTGCACACCAGGATCAGTTCTTCAGATACTGCAAGGATGGAGAATTAAGGGTCTGAACAGTAGAGGTAAATTGTTATGGAAGACTTTACTGGCGGCCATTTTGTGTACATTATGGAAGAAAATAAATCATTATATATTTGATAACAAATATAATGATTTGGATAAAGTTAAGAGTAATCTTATAGGTTTGTTGTGTTCTTGGTTGGGTGTACAAAGGATATTTCATGGTGTCCAACTTGGTCTTTTTTTGCAAGCTGGACCTTTCTTTGGGTGACTTCTCATGTTTTTGTATATTCCAATATACAAGTTCTCATTGTACATGGGCTGATGTACTTGGTTTTTTGCTTTTCCTGTCCTTGTGTTTATATTGTACTAGCAAAACTTTTGCTCATTCATGCGCTGTCCAGTTATGACTGGTTTGTATTTCTTCAGATTCTGTACTGAAATTCTACCATTTTTATGATTGGTGAAAAATGAGTTTACTATTGCTAAGTTTCTATTACTTCCCAGTTTTTTTTTATCAGCAGCTATTACTTCTCAGTTGATGTACAAAATTTGATTACATATCTGACACATTCTTGAAATATTTCACTTGTGGCAGATCTAAGGGTGTATTGAAGACTTTGAATCATTTTGAAAGATTTGGGAGAGATATGAAAGTGCTTTTGCTTAATAAGGTTTATGTTGTAAATGTTCTAGGTATTGTTTTATCATCTTTAGCCCTACAGATTTTTGTGTACTGCATATGTTTGAAGGATGAGATAAGAAATTGCAAAATGTTTATTCATAAATTTCCCATGCTCTTGATATTATTTTAGCTATTTTTGGTTACTTAATGTGTTGTTAGATTTGATGAGGGTCATCAATTTTCAAGAACCTAGTCCCAGCTATTTGTCATATGGGCTACTTGTTATAACTTCATTTGGACCAAGCTGGATTAGCTTTTAGACATTTTACTGATTTTCAAGGGGAAAATTTTCTAAGAGATGAGAGTGATGTAACCCATGGGGGGCTGCATGGTGCATCAGCCTAACTCCAACCCCAAGGTGGGAACTCCTAAGAGCTAGCCCTTGAAGTTGATAAATTCAATGTGCCTGCTGTATTTGTTCTTCTAACCATCCACGGAATCATGGATAGGGGAGTGCATTCTTTCCTTTAGGAAGAGGGAGAAAGGGAGAGATGGTATGGCTTGATAATTCCCTTTCACCCATTGAACAATGTTCCCTGTAATAGGCATAAACTTTGCAATTGTAATGTTCAGTATGCCTCCTGGGATAGCCACTTACTAGTGACTTCTTTCATCTAGCTATTTTTACTGTTTGCTTCCCCTTTTGGGAATTTATTTTATCTACTTAAGCTTTGGGCTTAGATGTAATCATATTTTTAATTCCCATAAACATGGAAGTGGCCATGATGTCCTTGAGAGTGTACACAGATTTTGTTGTGTAACATTTTCAAGAGGCTATTGAGAAGAACTTGACTATATTTCATTGTCATTCCTATCTTATCTGCTGCTGATGAAAGTGTTGTCTTTAGGTTATATATCCTACAACTTTGTCATAGGAGCTTATTCATATTGGGGGCCAAAGGCTGGTTATAATATTTATCATATGGTAAGCTATCTAAAATTTCCATGTCTTGATTGTACGACACATTTTTAGTTCAGTCTTTGATCTCATTTTCTGTTTAAGTGGTTACTCATGAGAGATGATCAAATCACCCTTTAATCCCAAAGAAACAATATGGTGACTGAAGATTATGACAACATGCAATCGTACCATTAGGATATAATTTTGTGTATGATTTATTTGATTGGTAAAAAAAGGATTTTGTTAATGAAGTGGAAAGAGAGAATATATAACAAGCAAAAAACTTCCTTCCCCTTGGCTTAGGTGCAATATGCATCTCTGTGTTGTCTCTCTCTTTTTTTAATATATATATTCGTTGGTTTTGCTAAAAATGCTGTGATTATTCTAGCTTTTTGGGGTTGGCATGTATGGATGAGCATTGGGCCAGGACATGGCAGGCCAAGGCCAAGTGCCCAATGCACAATTCAAAAGAGCAAAAATGAGAGAATGTCAAAAACAAAAATACCTTGGATCCTATATCATATAGAGAGTATATGTCCACAGTAAAAAATATATTTATATTTATGCATGTATAGGCATATGTATCTAGTGTCATGTGTGTATTATTTATTTGTGAATTGTAGAAGAAGCTTGCCACATTAATATAGTAAAAGATACTTAAAAATATTAATACATTCATGGGTGATGGGGGTACTTTTTCCTTTACCCTTTACATAACTGAAGGGTTTTTTTTTTGAAAAATGTTTAAAGGTTTCTATTGATAAAAGGGGGAGAGTTTTCCTCCAAAAACAAACATATACAACCAGGCTCCTCAAGGCAGAACCCAAAACTGTGAACAGAAATACATCAGTCATGACAAAATAGAAAAATTATCATCCCATAAGATCTTCTGCCAGTGGTTTTCAATCCTAAAAACTCCTTGTGAATCTTGCCCGGTGGAAGAGTGATCTCTCCATTCACAATTCACCCAATAACATCTTCTAACTAGGATCCTTTTGCCTTAAAGACCTTCTCATTGTACTCATGCCAAATTAGCCAGCAAATGATTATAAGAATTAGCTTCTACAAAACAGTTGCTAAAAGCTTTGCATTGCCAGGCTGAGATCCTTTGGGGGTGCCAACCTCATTCCAAACAGCTTAAAGAAATGCATCCACATGCTATAAGAGAATTGGCAGTGGGTCAATTAAGTGTGTCATTGACTCCTCCCTGATTGCACAGCTTGCATTGGTTGACTAAAGCCACTCCTTTGGAATTCAAATGGTTAACTTGGGGATCCTGTCCATAGGAAAAATATAGATTTGGATGAGTTTGCTGCTCGCTCAGTTTGCTGAAAAAATATTTAACAGAGAAAGAACCCGCTTTGGGCTCTAACCACCACAGCGGGTCTTCAGAGTTCAGAATTTGGCTGGATTTTACCTGGCCTTCAGTTTTCTTTTACATTGTTTATGGGACTTAATGACCAATCCATAACAGATTGTTTATTCTTTCTGTGTTTTTTGTGCCTTTATGATCCTTCTGCTGGAGAAACTTCCTGGAGTAATAGTTTGATGTTGTCCATTTATTTATTTTTATGTAGATTAGTAACAGAAGTTTTGTTAATAGAAAAAGTAGTGCAATCATCATGCCCTGAAAAGAGAATGGTAAGACAAAGAGAAAAACCTCCTAAGAGGCAAACCAAAAAAGCACTATAACAAAATCAAAATACACACTATGAAGGGCTCAATTTATCACTTTCATAATGCTTTGCAAATCTCTACTCATGGACCATATGTTATTCAGTCTAAGAAGTTGTGTGGTGCCTTACCTGTTCATATTGATGCAGCTTTGGATTTATTACCAGTGTCAACGAGTTTTCCTTGTTTTATTTATTGTAATTGTATACTGAGTAAGTTATCTCCTTGGCAGAAAAGTGCAGATTTGACATTTGGAGGGATTACAATTGTATGTGGAATTTTTGGAACACTAGCTGGAGGACTTATTCTTGACCGTATAAATTCCACAATCTCCAATTCTTTTAAGGTAAAAGTTGTTGCATTGACACGTCTTGAATGAAGTGTGCACTTTTCCAGCTAGTCTGGAAATTTCTTCCAGGTTCTACCATGATGAGCCTCCTCTTTCCTTTCATTGTAAATATAACATTGTTGAGAAATGATCTCCCTTGCTCTAAAACCTTGAACTCCACCTATCTCTAATCCCCCTCAAATGCTTCTTCCTTCTTGTGTTTTTTTTTTCCCGAGTTCTAATGGGTAGTGTGTTGATTTATTAAGAATGTGAAAATGGTAAAAGGCACCCAATACTTTCTATTGCCAAAACATTATTCCAATTAAACATGCAATACTTTCTATTGAGAGGGCCAATTTTCTAGAGTTAAGGATTTCATAGGAGACTACTAGCATCAGCACAAAGATAGCTTAAGATTTTTCTTTTGAAAACTTTATGGTTCCACTTTCATGTGCTCCAGCAAATAGCATAATACAAGGGGCCAGACCCCTGAGAATTACACAGGTGGAATTTTATCACAATACAAGGTCTCCAGAATGACACCTAATTTTGTTAATCCATCTGCAATGGCATTTAGCTCCCTTGGAATCCAGTACAGAGAAACATTCGTAGAAGCCAATAGGTCCCTTGCCTCTGTTAAGAAGTGACCAAGTCTCCATGGTCCAGCCTCCCGTAGTCCTAACCATTTTATAGTATTTGCTGAGTCACCTTCGATGGAGAAGTTCTGAATACCCAGTTTGCTGACTAGGCGAATCCCTGTAAGAGCTGCTACACAAATATATAGTATAAGAACTTTAGACATTTTACCACATTATAATTTTCTTATTGTCTTAAGATTGTAAGACATCTTTGCTATGATCCATGCATTTACTATTTAGTAGTCCACCTCCAAAAATTGTCCAAAAGCAAGAGATATGTCCATCTAAGATTGAACCATTGATATTACAATCGCCTGGAGTATATTATCTTAGAAATTTTTTCCCATTTCATTCTTTATCGGGGCTCCCATAATATGGCAGAATGGACAATATTCTGAAGAGTCCACCCACTTTTGCTCTTTATCAGTTCCATTATTAAGGAAACATTGTCTTTTCTGTCATTAAACAGCAAAATGCTTCTCTCCTTTTTTCCTACCATTTGATTAATCTTAGGAATTTTGTTGCAGCTGCTTTTTGGGGCAACATTTATGGGAGCAATATTTTGCTTTGCTGCCTTTTGTTTCAAGGACTTGTATGTTTTCATAGCTCTCTTCTCGATTGGTGAATTGTTTGTCTTTGCCACTCAGGTACTTTTTTTTTGAACAAGGTTAAGTAGTTCTCTGTATTAATCCAAAAATAAAAAAAAACTTCCAATCACCCAGGTTACATATTTTAACTAGTCAACATATATAGCACTACTGTTGTGGCATGCATGTCCTTTATCAGCTACTATTGTTTACATCATGAATATTTATTTTATTTTATCTAATTAAGTGAAATTTGTTATAGGTGTCAAGGTTCATTAACCCTGTTTAGGTGGAACTGAAGTAAAATAACAAACTCCTCACCCCCAACCCAGAAATTGAAATAAAGCACCCAGCAAACGAAAGAATCTAAAACTACCACCACCAACCAGCTCAAAACCACCAAGAAACCAACATATAATCAGCCCAAATACCATCAATAAAAGAATCATCCCTTGTCAGACTCTGTGAACATTCAACTCTTAACAGCCATACCTTTTTATTCGCTCCCCACCTCATCTTCCCTTGCCTCTGCCCCCACCCCCTCGCCATTGGTTTTTGTTGATGCAATGAATCCAAAATTCCTTGATTTCTGATCAAAAGCCTATCATTTATCTGAGGTAGTCTTAAGCAACCTCCCTCCCTCCATTGCCCTTTCTTCCAGAGAAAACTAATTGCCTTGCAATGGCTTCCCATCCCTTCTCACGAGGAAAGAAATCAATTTTCCTAATTGTTATGAAAATGCTCTTTTTAATTTGATGTTATTTGAACTAAGCATCTGAATAACTTGAAAACTTGAATTTTGAAAATGTTTTATTAATGGGAACACATTAACCTTACATTTGCAGGGCCCTGTGAATTATGTGTGTCTCCATTCTGTTACACCTAACATGAGACCACTATCTATGGCTATGTCTACTGTTTCAATTCACATCTTTGGTGACGTTCCATCATCACCACTTGTCGGGGTTCTCCAGGTTTGCCCTTATGGTTTCTTTTTGTTTTGTAGTTATTACTTTTATGTAGTTAAGAACCTAGTGATATCACTTTCTACGATTTGTTGGAATGGAGTTGTCTATGCTGAGAATTCCTGCCTCATGAAATGATACAGTTTTTTTTTTTTCCTTTTTGATGATACTTTTCATTTAAGAACTCACTAAAAAAAGATCCATATATTCTGTTAGGATTGTCAATAGGTTGGGTTGACCTGACAGAACCGTTTGGAACCAATTGTATAGGGTCTGGGACTGCATTTTGTCCCAATTATATTTGGGCCAGAATCAGTTTTGGTTATTCTAATACCCGTTTTTCTCATGGTTGTTTGTAATATTATCATGTTATCACGCCCAGGCGTGTCAATTTAACAATTGAACAGGTTCATTGTCTAATTACAGGTGAAAAACACAGCTGTCAATTATAATCCTGTCTTATCAGGTTAGACCCAATGGTCCTGATTAATAATTGGGTTGGTTCTGGGTCTGTTATAAGTTATAACAGCCCCTATAAGGTCTGGTTTGGTATTGGTTCTGTACATTTATTTGTCAGTTTGGAACTGGGTCCACCCTGACCCTGGACCAGACCCAACCCATTGACAGCACTATATTGTGTACTTCAGTAAGAGATCTAAATTTAATGGATTTTCTACTATATTGTGTACTTCAGGGGCCATTGCTTGGTGTAAAGGTAAAAAATTGAGCTGACAAGTCTTAGAATACAGGTTTGGGAGTGGGAGCAAGCACTTTGTGTAATAAAATGCCAGAGGTTAGGTCTGTATCCAGTCCACCTGTTCCAAGACCCTGGATAGCTGGGACCAATGTTGGGCAATGGCCTTTTTCCAGGTGGAGGAGAAACCTAGGTTATCATTGGATGGATTAGAGAGGAGATGATGGTCCTTGGGCTTGCATAGTTGCATCACCAATCTGGGAAGGTTAAGTTGTAGGTCTCCACAGTGAAAACCTTGTTCAGATGAATACTATGATCTGCTTCCAACTTTGTAGCTGATGCTTCATGAAGGGGTGTGGTTTTTAGGGTGCAGTGATTGTTGTGCGCATGCAGCTTCTCTCTTGGGTGGGTGTGGGGTTCTAACTTCTAAGTTCCTTCTGTATCCCCTTTTTGTCATCCTTTTAATTTATACCTCCAATAAGCATGACCAGAAGAGGCTTCTGTGGTTTATACAAAGTTATTGAATTCATCACCTCAAGTAAACATGACTGAGTAGGGTTTTCATTTTCTTTGCCTCTCTTTTCTTTTTATTTGCTCCCACTATTCCTTTTTTTATCAGTAACTGATTATTTTATTTATTATGGAAAGTGGACATGATTAAGCACCCCTAATCAGTGCAAACCCGGCCCCATGCTTCCCAAACTTGTATTACTTTTCTTACAATGATTACAAGATTTCCACTTGGTTAATCATCCCCCCCCCCCACGCACACACACCCCAATAAAATTGATCTTGTTTTGCTCCTTGTATACCCAATATGACAGCCATACCATTGGATGATCTGTATGTCCAAGTAATTTTTGCTCGTGTCCACAAATAGTCTTTTTACCTCCCTCCCATCATTCTAGTCCCAATGGTTTGATCTGTCTTGAGTTTAGGGCTGTCAATGGGTTACGTCTAGGTTGCAACAGTGTAGATCTGGTCAGAAACCAATAAGAAAACCCAAACCCTATAGAATTTGTAAGTGATAGAACCAACACGGCAACACCTATCCTATTATAAATCTGGGTTATTGGGTCTGAACTTATTATAAATGAAGGGCCTTTAGCCTGGTAATTTGATAATAAACCTTTCAATTTTCATGCTCTCTCTTCTCAAAATATTTCAAGACTAAATTACTTATACCTCCCCTCAGGTTTACCTATTAACTTAAGGGTGAGTTACTTGTTCCACCCCTCAATTAAATTTTCATCAGTTTTAGTGATGGAAAGTGTTCATGTGACACTTAAAAGTTTTTGAAAGTCCATTTTATCCTTTTAAGACGCTTTTTTGTTTATTATATGGACAAGTTAACCTAATTTATGAGCTGATAAAAAAATAGCCTATTTTGCTTCTTGAAGGGACAAATTAGTGTTATGTGGAATGAAAAATTGAAAATAGGTTGAAGAAAAGTAAGGCAAAAGTTACCTTTTCTTAGGGATGTCTTGGTAAAATACTTGTTTTTGTCTTTAATTCTTTATCTTATCTTCATAGGCCACCCGAAGTTTTGTGGTCCAAGGAGGTCTTAGTATTTCATTGAAACCCTAGTGGAGGTGGTAATTTGCCCATATTTTAATATTCCTTCCATATAAAATGATTATTTTAGAGATTGTATATGAAATTATTTCAGATAAATCATGAGAAACATACATAAAATGTTGGGTGGTATCTTTGTCATATGTAATATGTATTTGCATAATAGGTTCAAGTTTTAATCGGGCCAGAATAGGTAAACACAGTCCAACCTCATTAATAGCTGACACAAAATACAGACCCAAGCTCTATGTAATAGGGTGGATCTTTTGGGTCTGTTGGGTTGCCCTGAACCACTGGCAGCCATACTTGAGTTTGGAATGATTAAGTTGATAGAATTGGTTTTCTTGGTTTTTTCATTCATCTGCTCAACCCTTCTCATAAATATTGTTTGATGCTGATTCAGACTCATAGTTTGAGTTCCCATTTTAGCTTTTGCAATGATGAGGTGATAACAAGATTATTGTTGCCTCACAAAATCTTTATATCCTATTATTATTTTTTTAAATCCTGTTAATGGTCTTATATTGGTAAACATCCTGCAGGATTATGTTAATAACTGGAGGGAGACTGCTCTTATTCTCACATCTATTCTGTTCCTAGCTGCAGGAATATGGTTTATGGGTAAGGCTCAATGAGTTGCTACTTTGTGCATTTCTTCCATTTATGCCCCAAGAGTACTCCATATTTTCTTGTACTATTATCTGAGCTTGGTATTTAGTGTCAAACTATTTTTTGTAGTAAAGAAAAACATTTTTAAGGGGTTCTGAACAAGGGGGGAGGAATTTCGAGAAAGGATCGTTGGCTACTTCAGATACCTCGCAAGACCCGAGTAGGCTTCATGCAAAAACCATTAAAGAAAAATGGTGGGGTAACAGGGGTGGGTCCGAACTTGGCGGAATTTTGGGTGCTTTTAGTAACTCGCTGGACCATCCTGGCGAGTCCTCTCTTAAAGGAATTAATAGAGTTTTATGGCCCCAAAATTCCTGACGGTGGTTTTAGCCTTTTTAGGGATATATCTCTCTTATCTTCCTCAGACCTGGTCATGGTTGGAGAAAATGGTGCTTCAGTAGTAGATCTCAGAGAAGGGAGGGTTCTCTCCAAGGTTGTTGAACAATCGAAGCCGGATAAGGATGGGTTTGAGTGGCGTATCACAAGATTCAGTAATGAGAAAGAGGAGAGATCAAAGAAAGACAACACGGCAGATAAAAAAGAAGGGGAAGGAAAAAACTGGAGGAGGGGGAGAGGGGGACAACAATCTGGCTGAGCCTGTTTTGGAAGGTGTCGGACACAAGAAAGTGGGTGAATCAGCAGAGAAGAAAGATGGGAAGAGTGGAAAAGGGGAAAATTCTATGTCAAAAGTTTACATAAGGAAACAAAAATATAGAACTAGACCTTTGCAAGATGATAAGGAAGCTGATGATGAGGATGGAGCAGCTTCGGCTTTAGAAAAGGAAGGGGTAATTATTGATGAGACTCGTGAAATTGAGACGGAAGTGGATATGGAAAAGGTGCTGAACAGGGAGGTGGAGGTTAGTAAAATTTTGGGTTTATTTTTACTTTTTTTTGGGGGGGGGGATTTTGCTAAGGAAACTTTTAGGGAGGTGAAGAAATGTCGAGATAGTTCGAAGGAGAAGGAGGAGAATTTAATTTCAAGCAATAAGGTGGCTGGTTCTGGTTCTTCATTGGTCAAGGTGAATGAGAGTCTGAAGACTGACGAAAATAGAGAGTTTGGGAATGACAAAAGAGAAGAGTTGAGTGCAATCCAATTTTTTGAAAAGAATGCGATCTTTGAATTAGAAAAGATCAATGCAGACAGGGAGGCTTTTTTAACCAAGGAGAAACCTCCTAATGCAGTAAGGAGATTTAGAAGACAGAAAACTAATCAAACAGTGCAAGTTTCAAAAGTTTTTGCCAGATTAAAGCTGAGAGTTTTTGGGGGTGGTTCCAAAGAAGGGGAAGAAGACGAAGAAAACCTTTCAGGTAAGTAAAAATAGTTTGGTTTAAGACATTGGAGGCAATGAAGAATTGGGTAAAGCATGGTGTTTAAGTCCCATCAAATAGGTTTCTGTGTTCAGGGTAGGTATTTTTGACTTTTTGTTTTAAGGTTGAGATAAAGGGTTAGGTGGGAGTTATCAGTTTTGCTTGCTTGTATGAGTGTCAATGGAAGAGGATGTTATGTTTTCTCGGGTTTTCAGCTTTGGTTGGGGTGGGTACCTCAAAACGTTAAGCTGATGTTGTTTTCCTGGGTTGGGTGATGTCTTATCACCCGTTTGTATCCTCCTTTTTTTGTTTCATTAATAAATTTTCTTCTTTATTTATCTCCAAAATAAATAAGAGACAAATTACTAGTTCCAGTGATAAGAAGTCATCGAAGTAGGAAAGAAAGAAGACAAAAATTGAAAACACCATCACCCCACATACACACCTCTTCTAAAACAGCACTCCCATCTCAAAACCTACAAATAATCCTACAAAGCATCCATTTGGAAAAGGAACTAAAATTCCCTCCTCCCCCAAGCAGTTTAAATCTAAATGAGACATGGATTCCTGTCGTATATTTCAAACCCAATTCCTGACCATCCACCCACAGTACTTTAATCAACTTCGATCAATCTCTCTCCATTCTCTCAATCAAAATTTCCACCGTACCCCTTACTGACCACTCAAGAAAGATATTAAGAACTTTTAATTCTTCCTTTCACCTCTAATTCCAAAAACGTTTTTCTGGCATATTCCTCCCTACCCAAAAAATGAAAAAATAGGCCCAATTTCTTTGTGACCTGAATTTCTTTTTCTATTGTCTTGCTTAGTCTGTTTTCTTATCAATATCAGTGTTTAGAAAACCAGACCAGACCAACCGGTTGGATTGGTTGAACCCTGAACAGGCCCCTGGCTGGTTTGTTCATGCCCCCAAAACCACATTGGGTAAAAACCGGCCAAAACTGGTGACCTGAATGGTCAAACCAGAAAACTGGTGGCCTGGTCCCGGTTTTAGAAAACTGGCCGGTTTTTGAAAATTCTTTTAGCACATAAATGCAAACTTCTAAAGGCCATAACTTTGTGTTCAGATGTCTGATTGTGGTGATTTGTTTTTTGATTTTGGGTAACTCCTGAGATGTACGTGACGTGTTCCCAAGGTGTCTTGGCACCTTGGTCAACTATTTTTGCTAAAACATCTTTTTGGCCTCAAATCTTAATTTTTAATATAAAAAAGTAATAGTAAAATAAAAATATATGTTATAGAAGAATACAATTATATATTTTGAATATATTGTAATTTATTATATAATTTATAATATATTATATTATATATAGTGCACACACAAAGACACACATACATACTCTCTTTTTCCGGGTTGATGCCAGTCCGGTTCTCTGAACATGGATCAATATTATAAACTTCATCCTTTTCTATTACATCTTAAAATTTCTTCAATAATTTTTCTTCTGATGATTTCTGCATTACATGCATCTCCAACATCTTATCCATGGGAACTTCTAATGACAAACAGACAAAGAAGTATCTGGTGTTGTCCTGACTTGATCATAATTAGGCTCCTCTTTCTTTCTGCTGAAGCACCTTTTTTATTTTTATCTACAATTAAACTTGAACCCACTGTTATCTTGCAACAAAATCAAATACTGTATCCACTTGAGTTTTCTCAACTTCTTTTTTCCTAAAAGAAACGTCCTTGGTACTCTTCCTCCTATAGACCCTTTTGAGCTTTTTTCATCTCTGACTACACATAACGACATTGTACCCTAGAGAATTTTTGGCCCCACATAACCACCTATATCTGATGTCAAACTGTAGCAATTGGACCAACCTTGTTGACTTAAAAAGTGGAAAAGAACAGGCCACAGAGTGCATCAATATCAAATGCTGAATTTAGTCTGCCCTGCCATGTAGGCTCTAGAGACTCCTTGACTCTGTATGGACCACACTAATATCATCCTTAGATTATCTCTTGCATTCCAGCATGCCTCACAGTAAATTGGCCATCTGAGAAAGCTCCATGTATACGGGAGCCAATGGGCCAGCCAGGTCCAAAGCCTGGACAACATACTCTAGAATACTTAATGACCAGTAGAGCATTTCAATTTTTGCACTTGCAAGTGTAAGGGTGCCGGGAAGGATAAGATGGCCTGGGCCTTTGAAAGTGGTGTCTTAGATGCGGGTTCAGGTTGGATGGAACTACAAGCCAGATGGACCCCCTGGCTCAAGCTGGGCACAAGTCCTTGGAACCTTGGAGGCCGGTTTCCGTAGTGATGGTATCCTGTTGGTGGTTGACTGGGGAAATCTCAGTCTGAAGAGCGGGTGCACCCTCTGCAACTGAAGGAAGATTTGGTACTGGGATGGGTGTCCTTCCTGATCCTATGTGTGTCTTAATCGTCTCAGGACAGGACCAATGTCAAATTGCAGATGTTTTCTGTCATCAGTTTTTTTTGTCAGACTTGCATTGCATTTGCACCTGGGGCTGGCTCCAATCACAGTTGCATTCGGTCTGTGGTTGCACCCAGGTCTGTCCTAGGTGTACTGGATCCTGAGGGTGCTCCTGTTTGGGGGTGGGGGGGGGAGGGGGGCTCTTACACCAAGTTCCTCTCTCAGCCTCTCAAACTCTACATCATGGGGTACTTTGGGTTTATTCTTATTGACTGAAAACTTGGATTTTGGTCTTTGAACTTTCCCTTTATGCTAATTCTTGTTGTTGAAGTTGTTTTTTGGCATCATTTGGTATTTGAACGATGGAGGGTTGGATGTGGTCTGAAAACTCTTAGTATGATTTCATCCTTGAGCAATGGAGGGTTGGATGGCTGCTGCATGCGTTATTCATTATCCCTTCTTTGCCTTTTGCTTGGATAACTAGGGTTAGGGGTGAGCAAATGGGTAGGTTCTACCCGGAACTGAATGGAACCAACCTTGAACCGACCTTACCCAGTGCAGGAAATATCAAATTGATGTTTCTTGAAAACTCTTAACACGGATTTCTATGTGGTATTTTAACTTTAGTTTTAAGTGATTAAGCAACTAGTTCCGCAGTTATCTGATTGTAAGCTGCATGTGCAGGTATCTTTTTACACAGTGTGGATAGATTCAATGAGGATGGTGAGCATCAAGTTTCCGGGGTGGAAAGGTCGAACCTCAGGCCATTGCTTGATGGCACGAAAACAGAAACCCAAGAGGAATCTGCAGAACTGTAAATCATGAGCACAATATCAAGTTTTTGTTTTCTTCCAGCTGGGCCCAACATGGAGTTCAGATGCATAATTGTTTCCAGAATGCCTTAATCATCTCAGTTTGGATTCAACTGTAACTATACGTGTTTATATTGTTTGACAGTTGACAGCTATGAAACACGGAATAGACCGACTGTGTAGGAGTTCAAGAACAAGTTTCTTTGCATATCACTTGCAAATGTACAGACATCTTAGGAATCATGTAAATAAATTTACAAGTTTTTTATTAATTCTGTAATTTGGTAATGTTGATCCGGCGATTCCCATGTTGGAACTGCTTTCAATCTCATTGGCAATTCGCGACCAAATAAGGGTTCATATCCATAATCAGAGATGGGGCATTTAGCGACACCCTTCAAACTGGGTTCATATCCAAGTATGTTGTATGCATGTCTTACCCAGATCCAGACCAGGTTCTGTGAAGAAGGTGCTGACTATGCCTGTTTGGCGTGTCTTTATGTGCAGTCTTTCGGTTGTTTACAAGCTGGGCAGACCGTGCTGTGGTTTTTTTCCATTTGGATCGTAACAGATCTAACCATCAAAAGTTGGTGTGTCGAAAAGATGTGAGAAGTCCATTTTGGGCTGATTTTGGAAAGCTCCAAATGAGGTTTTTCATGTCTTTCTCGCTTTATTCCCGTGCGAAAAGACAAAAAGACACATGAAAAGATGCGTGATAGTCAAATTAGCTTCGGGCTGTCCAAATTTTCATGTAAAAGCTCAATGCATCTTTTGACTCAGAGTTACCAGGAGATTTTCCAAAAAAACTTTCCTAACGGCCCCCGCCCCTAAATAAGGTTCTGCATCTGACTGTTTCTGGATGAAACACGCGGTATACAAGGTTAGATCATCAAAGGATTTGTACATATGAGGATTAGGGCATTAGCACTTTGTTGAATCGGATGTAATTATGACCTTAGGGATGTGATTATGAGTGCAGCCATCCTGATAGGTTTACTCTGATTCCATTATTCCTAATAAAAAATGCTAGAATGTCTCTCTCAATTACCTTAATTATGTAAAATTGTAAACTACCAAACTCTACCTATATCTTTCCACATGGAGGAATCCATGGTTGATCCATAGTGTCCATCAAAAAGATCGGCAGAGCTTGACTCCTCCAATGCGCAGTCCTTGTCCCTTATCCCAAATTCCCAACTCTCAAAGCATCCACTTGGGCCAAAAAGGGATTTAGTTTGTGTAAACTAGAAGTCTAGAAGGGATGAGAGCAACATGTAGGGGACCTTGCCCTTTCAAGCATTTTGTGGGGAGACTAGAATCTAAAAGGATCAAGGTGTTCCTGATGAGTGAAAATTCTTCAACGATTGCAGCCTTAAATTTAACAATAACATATTGTTCCTGCTGCGAAAGCGTATTATGTCACGCTTACTTCCTTGATTTTTTTTTTTTCTTTTGCAACTTTAATTTAATTGATTTTTGTGGTAATTATTGAACTACAGTATTTATCTAAACGGTTCAATTAGTATCTCAAGAATCAACTACTGGTCTGAATTTCGGAATTAGGACTATGGCCATTTGGTTGGAGTCTAAATTTGATAGAAGAATCTGGACCTGCTCCTAGACTTCCTATTCATTGACAACTCTACCCAAACCTACCCACATAACATCAGTCATGCATAGGAAACATTTCATCCTCTTACATGTTATTATACATGGGGAGATGTTTCCAATGCAACGAGGTAATGTTTTGTGGGTAACGTGGGTAGAATTCTTGTGGATAGGAGATTCGGAATCGTTCATAAGGAAATGTTCTCAACACATGGTGAAAAGGTGTGAGGTCGGTGTGAGGAGTGATCTATGAAGGGTAAATCCCTGTTTGATTTGCTATGCAACTGCTGTACATGGTCATAATCGTAGAATCAATTCATAAAACTCAAGAAGTTTTCTCTCTTTGGGAGGTTTCCTCTCTTGGTTTCCAGAGATTTACTCTCTCTCTCTCTCTCTCTTTCTCCATCCTTTTCCCCTTCTCCCTTTCCCTCACTCCTCTCTCTCCTCCGTTCCATTTCTCATTCACTCAATCGGTCTTCTCTCTTTTTTTTTTATCTTTTTTATCTTTTTGCAGGGATTTTGGTACAGGCGGCTGACTCTTCCTTAATGATTTTGGTGTTGGGCGGTGGCCGTCATCACTACTTTGGCTTTCACTGTGGATGGCTGTTTCCCAATTATATTTCACCGGCGTTCGCGGTTTCTAGTGGTTGCAATTCCAACGGTTTCTAGTGGTTCACAGTTCCGGCGATTACAATTCTGGCAGTTACGGTTCCAGATAGTTCCAATTCCTTGGTGGCCATTGCTTTTCACCTCTCATGCCTTTTCAGATTCTCTATCTTTACCTTTGTGAGGTACTACCATCTTTACCCCTCATTTAGAGTGGTTGGAGATGCGTTCACTTGTTTCTTCTATTGATGATTCTGCCTTACTTATGTTAGTTGCAATTCTACTTTTTTTTTCTCTTTTATCCATTGTATGTATTTCGTTCTTTGTAATGAATTGTATTTACAATTTCTTTTTTGGTATTATTTTCATTTCTCTGTATCCATACAAGTTTTATTGAATGAAATATGACATTGACGCGTTTTTCCTAAACGAGCGATCACACACTCATTGCATATATACAGCCACGGTGTGCTGTGTGCAGCACATTCACATCCGGAGTCAACCTTTTCTCATTTTATTCCCCCTTTACTTTTGTTCTCAGGAGAGTGATTGTGTCGGTTGGTCCCAACCAACTTTTAAAAAAGGGGACACGCTCCTATTTTATTAGCGATAAAGAATTATGGCAAAGGCCAAAAACAGTTACTTAAGACCTTCGTCTTTTCATTGCTAGCGTCATCAAATACGTAAGGTTATGATTTTTCTTTTTATTCGACTATGACACGGAAATGATATGATATTCTAATCAGTCGATGGTAGCCAGTGAAGTATTATTACTTATCAAAGTCAATACAAAGGATATACAAAGGATTGTACGGTCACAATTCATCTTGTATTATATGAAATGAACAATATTCCCACATTTTAGCATTTTCCTTTTAATAATATATAAAAGAGAATATCTTGAGAAGAATCAAACAGTTAGGGCTGTTTATCAAAAAAAAGAAAAAAAAAAAAGAGGGCTGTTGATGGGTCCTTTCTGCCCAAACTGAACCTAATAAATTATCTCGATTCTTGTTCTATGATTTTGTTCATCATATCAGTTCTACGGACGTGGCAAAAAGTTGACCCAGCCCGTGAACCCGATTCAACGCAACCCAAAAAACCAGATTAGGGTCTCATATTTAGTTACCTGAATGTGAGAATGACCTGACCCAACTCGACCCAAAAAAAACTGGATTGGGTTGGGTTGGGTCATGGATCAATCTGCTTACCCGATTGTCAAGTCTAATTGAGACTATTTATGCATTGTTAGAAGTTTACATTCTTTACTTTTTTCTATTTAATCTTTACTCTTTAAATTGTTAAATGTTCAAGTTTTTTTATTTTATATTTAGAATTTTAAGGTTAATTCCTTTAATTTTGACATCTTCATGTAGTTTTCTTTATTTTTTAAATTGTAGTTTTTTTTGGGGGGGGGATGACCTGAATTGACCTGACCCATGGATTAACTCTAACCCAAACATTTAAGGTTAGGGGTCTAGCATTTGATAACCCAACCCAAAATTCAACCCGACCCGAAATCAACCCAAAGTGTCTTGACCCAACCCAATTGCCAGGTCTCCGCTTCTTGTTTATCCTCAACCGATTAACAATTTACCTTATTATTTAAATAAATAAACAAAATTTTCAAATAATTGCATCCACCGGGACTATTAATTGAGACAGTTTTGATTTGAATCTATTATTTTATTACATTTAATAATCAAATCAATACTAATTCTACTTAAACCTAACCCATTAACACTACACATTTCGTTCCATCATAAAAGTGGGACCCGCTATATATAAGATGTGCGGGGTAAGGAAATAACATTCTGTGAGAGGAGAGGAACCAAATTCCAGAGTCTGCATGTGAAATACCTTGAGTTAAAAACTTAAAATACCCGTTATACTTGAAACAAAACAAAACACCATTGTCTGTGCTTGAATCCTATTTGGTGAAAAAACGTGTTTGTCATCTGTATCAGCACTGACACGGATTTTTATGCATTCGATATTTGAGGGGGAATTTTATTGTGATATTCCCCACATCAGACTAGCATTAATTACCGTTCCAGAACGGCATGTGTACCTATGGACCGTTACAAAACCCCGACAATGATTTGGTTTGGGCACAACTCCCCAGTTGTTAATATCTTATGGATTTGGACAATTGGACTCTTGGGTTTTGGCTTACAGCTTGTCATCCCACAAATTTTGTAATAGGGGAAATGGGCCCCTTTAGTTGTTAGAATTGGTCTTTTGTCTTCTCGTAAATGGCCCACTGGGCCTCAATCCGTGAAAACAGTACAAATGTAAATATGTACAGTATAAATACATAAAAAATAATATAAAGTATAAGGTTTTACACTTTATATATTTGTATTTATACTTTTTAAATTAAGTTTAATTAAAAAAATTAAGCAAGAATAAGGGAGATTAAATCAACCCCTCACAAGATTGCCCCCATAATGTCCCACAGCATTTCGGTCGTATATTAAGAACATCTCCTGATAATAATCTCAAAAATAATAATGTTATCATCCGGAGATGCTCTCAATATACGACAAGACGTTGTGGGGGACAATCTCGTGGGGGGCTGATTTAAACTCAGAATAAGGTTTTGATATTTTTTATTTTATGAAATTGTAAGTCCCTCTATCTGGGGCCTATTAATCACAATATTTTGATTCTTCACAAGTGGTGGGACCAACGAAAACATAGAAAAACAAAGAGTTGGATGAATTTGTTTTTATGGAGAAATAATAATTATATTCTACCAAAAAGGAGTTACATCTGTCCAGGTTCATTTGCAACAAAACATCTTCTCTTCAGAACCAAAGTGATGGGAATAATAAATAGTCATGCTACTACATTGGAATGACAATCTTGTCCTTGAAAATTTAGAAAATTATGATATACTAACCTAATTACTTTTTATATAAAGCAATTAGATAGGCATATAGTTGCGGGGCTGTCAATTGACCCTAACAATTCGATATCCAATCCCACATTTGATCTAATTATCTCATGTTAAAACCTAGTAATTGGATGAAAAAAGTGAATAAAAAGAAAAAAAGAAAATGAGTGCAATTGTGTGTATAAGATAATAAATAATTAATTAATTTTCATTTTTCTTTATTTAAATAACAATTAATGAGAGTCAAATCGAAATTCAAGTCGAGTCTGATATTTGGATTTGATGTAGCTGAATCCAACCATACATATATCAAGAGATTCAATTACTACACTAATAAATAATATAGTATTTAACTAGGATGCATTCACTAATATTAGTCTCATGTTAAATCCAAATCTAAACTGAATACATTAAAGTGTGCTTTATTTTTTCATTGGTTCATCTATTATAAAACTTACTTTCATATTCAACAATATCTACTTACCATCATCAAGTTCAGCCAATCACCATATTTGCTACACACTGTAGTTTGTAGATTTTGTCATTAATTTTTTAATTACCTTTCTTTACACTTTTTTATTATTTTTAAATTTTTAAATTTTATTTTACAAAACCTTGGCTTATGATACACATTTTCTTTTGATTTCTTTTGAAGGGCTACACAACAGGGATCTCTCCAACTAGGGGTGCAAATGGATCAGATCATAATCGGATAATCTAATCACCCCCTCCAATATGATATGTGTGTTATTTATTTATTTATAAACATGTTATTTATATTACATTTTTTAATTTTTTATATTATTTATAAAAATATATGTAAATATATGATGAAAAATATTTGTATTTTTTTATTTTTCTTTATTAAATATTACATTTTCTTTTCCTTTTAATAATTTATTTTTTTTTTAAAAAACCAGATCGGATCAAATTCAGGTATCCAACATTCTGATGAGATTCGAATTCCAATATGCAATCAAATCGAATTCGAATTCGATCTGATCCGTTTAAATCCCTAAGATAACCCATCCCCAAACCCATATTCCAAATTCTCCATGATGTTACTGTTACATGTAGTGACAAATTTGTTACGGGGAGGAGGAATAAAGCATTTACCCTAATATAATCAATCAAAACGGAATTCTGGAGATGGACAAATTCGTCTTTTCTTAATGAGGACGCAATTAATTGACTTTTGCAACTTTTCTTTTTACATTTATTCTTATTTTAGTGGTCCCTATCAACATTTTTTTTTTTTTGTTGCGTAGGCTACATGTTTTGTTTTGAAGTTCCAATTTTAGAATCTGCGAAGAGTCGTGCCCTAGAATCCGAACCCTCCATCTGGAGTGAAATGCCTAAACCTCCGTCCATCCGTCACCCTTCCTGGTGGCATTCCTGCAAATTACTTGAAAGAAGAATCTTCTTGGTGGATTTCAATTATTCAAATAATATAATTCGTCACTCACCGGCAATCACACTCCACTCGTAAATGCGTAAACCTTCTCTATATAAAGGAGGCGAGGCGATTCTCAGGCGGTGGTATACATCCACGATTTCTCGGTTTAGTTTTTTTTGGGTTTTCGGTCGCGTCGTACCTTATTTTCGAAAGGAGGGAAAGAAATGGCGGAAGAGGGACAAGTGATCAGTTGCCACACTGTTGAGGCCTGGAACGAACAGCTCCAGAAGGGAAACGAGTCCAAGAAATTGGTACCTCTTACAAATCTTTCATTCCATCCTTTTATGTTTATTTAATTATTTTGCATGATTTAGATGGGAATTTTATTCTTAGCATTTTAAGGCATGTAGGTTCTGGGTTGCATTTACTAAATGATTTCTCCGGTTTAGTTTTGTTTGGTCTCCATTTTTATATCGTGATTTGCTAGTTCTTTTTGGGCTCCAAAGGTTAAGCTGGATTTCGTTGATCATTGATGGGTTTGGTTTGGTGTGCTTTATCTGACTTAATCTGTTCTGATTTTGGGTGCTCAAGGAGTTGTTACAGTGCTATTAATATGGGCTTCAGATGATGGATTTAATTTTTTGTTTGACGGATTTATCTCTGTTTCTCTGTCCGATTGTTATTATCTTGGGGCTTAACGAGTTATTCTCAGAGTTTTTTATACATGCCTTCTTCCACTTGGTCGGATTTTTTTATCCCTAATTTGTTTTCTACGGTTTGGGTTTTAATGTTCTAGTTTATGTGATTTCTGCTGATTGTTTTATTCTATTTTATTTATAGAAAAGCCTGCGAGATGAAAGGGGTATAGCCAAGCTTGTTTCGGTTTTCATAAAAGGATTAGTTGCCGATTGTATGATCTTTTTTGTTTTCCTTCCAAAGTATGATATTTGACTGACTTCTCTACTTTACAAAGTGTGTTGGTCCAATGAAAGGGGTAATTTATATTTTCATATGGGAAAATACTTAAAACCCTAACTTATATTCCTTACTTTTTCAAAGAAAATTTCAAAATGGCAAGTGAGTGACATACATATATAAGAGAAGAGATGGCTAAAAGACTAAAAGAGGGATAAAGTACCTAAATAAGTCTCTTAGTCTTATTTGAAATATGCAATTATATTTGTTTCAACAATTCGTGAAATTTCATTAACAAATTTCATTTTTTAATAAGTTTCTCTGATTTTTTTAGAGATCAAATATCTTAGTGGAATTTCCCCGAAATTGTCCTAATTCCGCCGGGCAAAATGTCCATTGGCGTCAGAATCGTGAATAGGAGTAATCATTTCTAACCCTGGTTGGCCTGGGCCCAGTCCGGCCTATATGTGTGTGTTATACTTTATAATATTATATTATATAGAAAAATATTATAATATGGCACATACAATATATTTTATATATAAAGACATAGGACCAAAGCCCAGCCCGGCCCATGATCGTCCCTGATTGTGAACCATGCTTGCAACCTGACCACATGTTCAGATTTATTTTGGTTTTCTCTTGGCTTCGGTATTTTACCCACAGTGTAGTATGCCATGCCTACCTCTCATATCATGTGCCATGGGTGTGGGCTACTGGGCTGTTGATTGAATATCTATAAATTATGTTATTTGGTGACTGTATATCATGGAGGGATCAGAAAACAGAAAGTTAATTGCTTGATCATCTGTTCCTAGAAGTTTCATATTTGAACCTAAACTACCCAGTTACTACAAGGACATTGTTGGACAAAGTGTAGGACATGAAATTTAGAATGAAAATTGAAGTGTTCAAAACTACATGGCAGAACTTTACAGGTATTTGGGTATCAAATGTTTAAACTTTCTCTAGTTGTAAATCTGGTGTAGGTGTCTGACTCTTGATCCAGATATGTAGCTCAACTCCCTGTCTGGTCTTGGCCACACAGGTGGTTGTAAAGGTTTTTGGAGCTTCCATATCATAAGCAGTAGTTTACTTTTGGTGGTGAACCTCTTATAAATTGTCGTGTGTGTTATTGTGGGACTCATCTATTGATTATCAATTTCATAGGTATGGTCTAATTCCAAATACTCCTGGACTACCATCTCAGAAGAATTACAAGGTTTAGGCTTTAATTTTGGAGTTAGCAATCCATTAATAACCTAATGCTTTAGCATTTATTCTGGGAGACCTGGATGGTGTGGTTGATTTAGATGCATTTTGGTTGGGTTGCTTTAAAATTTGAATGCAAGTGAATGATGTTCACTTTAGATGGTTAAGTTTCACCTAACATAAATATGGTAATGATACCTAATTACCTATCTGTTTCAAATTTTGCTTCCTGAGGAACATTAGAAGGAAAGGAATTATTTGTCTTTATCTGATATGGTTGTTGTCAAGGTTGTTTGTTTTAAGGAACTATGGCTGTGTAGAAATTCAAAGTTATTGTCCAATAATTATTACTTATTTATTGCATCCCTTTCCGTACCTCATGGTTTTGCTTGATTATTTATCGTATCTGCCATGGCTGATTGCATATTTGGACCTTGGATGCTGCCATAATGCGGCTTTACATTTTTTTTTTCCTTTTTCCTTGGAAGTTGGAATCATATTGCCTTATTTACTACCGCCAAGAAGTTTCTTACCAACTAAGCATCTATAGACCTGCTTCATGTGACTTTATCTTTGCAGCATTTCTCTTTTGAAATGCTTTGGTGATTTTGTCATAGATTCTTAAAAAAAAAAATTACATTCTTAAAATAAGTTGCAAGTTTTGGTGATTTTGTCAAGCTATGTTTGCATTTATATCTATCTGATGTAGCCATAGATTCATAGCAACAACCAACGTGATTCATTTTCTTATAGGTATTATATGTTTTATTTAATCCTGGCAAAATGGAAGGAGCATGCCATCATGTTTTACAGTGCTGTTCTTTAAGTATATGTTAAGAGTTCAATGTTTCTAGGAACTAGGGAATAGGGAGGCTGATAGATCAAATTTTAGGGCTTCCTTCAGGTTATATGGTATTGTTTTCTGGCTGATGATGGTTAAAAAAATGAATTGATTGCTTGCATTTTGATTTTCAAGAATAGAAGATAACCCAAGTTTGGCTCGCTTCTGTATGACCGGTTTGTCTAAATTTAACTCTAAATTATCGATCCTTGTCAGATTTTGGATCACAGAAGATTTAAAACTGGGAGAAGTTACCATGTTTGGATTTACTCTTTCTGATTTGCTTAGTGTGAGTTGAGAGAAAATTAGTTTCTATGAGGAAACAAGAATCCGTGCTTTATAGCCCCATTGGGTTTGGTGTGCTTTTTAGTTTTTATCTGCCCTTCGAGTTACTGCTTGATTGCTTTTAAGCTAAATTCCACTTTGTAGTTTGCACTGCTGCAATTTTTTTCCCAGGGAAGCAGGAATTCGAACGCTCCAAGCTCTCCACCACCTACACTGATAATGTATTTAATAATTTGACTTCAGCTGCCAATCAAAATGAGATAAAGATATTTCTTTTAGAACCATGAATTCGCCACTTTTGGACTAAACTTGACTAAAGTCTTCCAACTTCCACCGCCTAAACTGATAATATATTTAATTTGACTTCTCAACATGACTATGAAGGTTTCGTCATAGGATGATTCTTAGATGAGGTCTTCTCACGGTCCCATCAATCAACTTAGTAGCTTGACATGGATGTTCAAATTCCTTGCTTGGTGACTCTTTGCAGGTCGTGGTTGATTTTACTGCTTCATGGTGTGGGCCATGCCGCTTCATGGCTCCAATCCTGGCAGAACTGGCAAAGAAGCTGCCTAATGTCATTTTCCTGAAGGTGGACGTTGATGAATTGAAGGTAAACAAATACATTCTCTTTGTCTCGTATCTGAATGAATACAATGTCTTCGACAATCAACCCTTCCTCTCAATGCAATACCTTGAAACACGTTGAGTATCTTACTTGTGATTGTTTATGGAAATTCACCATCTGCAGACTGTTGCGACTGATTGGGCTGTGGAGGCAATGCCAACCTTTATGTTCCTGAAAGAAGGGAAAATAGTTGACAAGATTGTGGGTGCAAGGAAAGAAGAGCTGCAGCAGAAGATTACAGCTCACATGGTTGCATAAATATATTTTCTAGTCCTGTGGAAAAATAGACCTTCGTATAAACTCTATCTTGACATCAGTTACTTGTTAATCCCGTAAACGGTGCTTTTATTTCTATTAATAATACCCGATGACATTTGCATAGTTTATTGTTGAATTCCAGTTTCCAGTGCTAGTATTACAACCCTGATGAAATAGAGATACATAGCGGTGAATGTCATTTTGTATTAGATTCCGGAACCTGGAATGGGTTCCTCCGGTTGTGAATGGTCTGGTGCTCTAGTAGTCGGTTTTGAGTGATATACATTAGGTTTCTTTCTTAATCCATTTACGCCGTGGCTATTTGAAATGGAATTAGGCTGCATTTGGGAGTGAGTGTGGGAGGTGAGAGCTTCTCTAACAAGTAACAGCCGGGCGGGCAAAATTTTGGGTCCATAGCATCTAATGATAAAACCCAAATTTTTAAATAATATAATAGACAAAAAGTATTACAAAAGGCCCAAGCTAGGCTGGACTTTGTTAGGCACTGAGCTCTTATTGAACGGAAAATAGGGTATGGGTAATGGGTAAAATGGGTCTGATTTAATTTGTTGGTTTGGTTTGTTTGGACTTTGAAGGCTTTTCATTGTTGAGCAATGTATATGAATATGATCACCCCAAATAACTAGGGAGGGCAATTTTTATTTTTTACCCTATCCGCTTGTATTCTTTGATGGGTTGGATTTTTTGTTTGGAGGACGGGTTTTGGTATTTTATAACTCAAATGGGTATTTGAAGGGTATGGTGATCATTTCTGATCCATGTATTGTTGAAGGATAGGGTCAAAGAGGGTTTGGCATTTTCATGTGTAGGAAGGGTTTGGATTTTTAAAACTACAGATACTGGGAGGTTTAGGGAAATAGGTAGGATTTATAAACCCTCTCTGAATCCATCCCATTGCCATCCCTACAAATAACTGGCCCTAATAAAAGATCAGCTTCAGTGTTCACACCGTTTGCACAGCCTTTTATAGCCGTGCGTTAGGAAAATTTTCATATTTGTATGCTTTTTTCTATGGAGAGATATTCCCAATCCAACAATTTAAGGAATTGGATTTCCCTGGATAGTGTTTCAACTTTAAGGCCCCGTTTGGCATCATTCCCCGGGAGTGATTTTATTGATTCTTTTGATTCTTGGGATGAGAATCATGCTTGGTTCAAGAATATAATCGATTCTCATTCGAAATGAAATGAAAAATTCCCTCCAGAATCGCAATTCCGCGGAGTTAGAAAAAAAAGACACTTCTGAATCGCGATTCTCATTCTAAGCAATTCTCGCCACGTTAAAATAGCAAACACATGTGAGTTGTGACAAAGTCCCATGTGAAAATAAGGGCATTATTGTAATTTCGATAAACACTGTTATCTTCTTCGATTTAACGATCCTTCGCCTCTGGTCTCTCTCCCCTCTTTTTCTTCTTCTTCCTCTCCTCCCTTTGTCAGCGTCATTCTCAAACTGCCTTCACTCCGTTCTCAGTTACAGAAAATATTTGCAATGGCGGAGCTTCCCCCGTCCTCACTTATCCTCACTTGAAGTTGTCATTACAGTAGGCTTCCGGATCACACGGTTTACGTTCTATCTGAATTAGTGCCCCTACAGCTCGTCGGATTTAACTAATCATAGTTACTATTTTTGTTCAACACCGTTAACTACCTCCACGGCCCCAAGCCCCCAACCCTCAAAAATAAATAAATAAATAAATAAAAAGAAGAAGAAAAAAGGGGGAAGACTGTAGAGAGAAAAATAATGAACAATTCCGAAGATGGTACAAGGATTTCAAGCATAGAAGTGATATTCCCTTAACTCGGTAAGTTGGTGATAATACAGATGACTAATCAACGTTGTGAAACCCTGGAAGAAGGGAAATGATAAATCCAACAACAATCATTTGGATCTCCTTTGCTATCCCCCACCAGTTGACACCATTCCCTGCACCAGGTTCTGGCCGATTCTCATTTTCAACTTGTTGCTTTTTGCATGAAATGCAAGTTTCATGGCAAGGATCGTACATTAACCACAAAATCATTTGTTATTTTATGTTAATAAAAAATAATATACATTTATTTTTAAAAACTTTCACTATGAATTAAAAAGAATAATATTCGAAATTAGTATTTTATAAATCAACAGAATAAATAATTTATAAAATTTACACACACACACACACATATATATATATATATATATATATATTAAAAATGAATTTTAATTTCAAAAATTTATACAAATAAAAATGAATTTATAAATTTGCATATAGTATATATATATATATATATATTATAAATTATTAATATTTTAATTTGCATTAAATAACAATGGATTTATTATTTACGAAAATAAAAGTACTGTGTACAAAGTAGTAATATAATTGAATCTGTCAAATCTATTAATCTACATTTTATATAATGTATATAATGGAATAATTATTTTAGTAATTAAAATTTATGAATTTTTATATGATGCATTTTTAAAATTTTAATAGATTTGATATATTTTAAGTTAAGATTACATATTTTTATAAATTGTTAATTGATATTTTAAGTTAAATTTTATAATAACATATTTATTATTTACAAAAAATATAAATATTATTTATCATACATTTAAGAATTAATTTTTTAGTTGAATTTTTTTGTTAATGTTAAAAATAAAAATAGAAAATAGAAAAAAATGATATAATGATTCAATTATAATAGTTGCATATGGTTTATGCCCTACGCTTTAATAGATAATAAAAAAATATTGGCATTTTGCATGTATTAATTTGTAAAAATCTATATAATATTTGCCTTGGACTCTTGATTGAAGCATTATTAATAAAGTTGTATAATATCTACATGTCTTGTTATATATATCATTTAAATATACAATTTTTATATATTTACATATTATTTATAGATGTTTTGACATTAAACTTAATGTTATTTATATATTTATAGAATTTGTGTGCATTTTCTTAGTGTATCAAAGCGTTTCTATGTTTTTTCGTTCGTATCCATATGTTTCTCAAGTGTATATGTATCCATATCCAAGTTGTCCGATATAATACTCGATACCAATACTTTAATGCTTCTTTCACGATGGACATAATTTGTTGATGAATGAATTTAGTGTTCAAACAAAAAATGCAAGTGTATATCTATTTCTCATAAACAAGAATAAGATAACCATTGGTTTATGGGAAGATTTGGGTGGGATGGGAAAGTGTAAAAATTTACACTTCCATTGTTTGGTTTGTATATGGGAAAATAATAAGAAAAACACTGTTACGAGTTGGTTCTTCGCCGGATTCATGTAAGATGAAGAACAGAGCTCCATGACTATAGTGGCGATCAAAGAAGGAGAGGGAAAATGAGGGAATGAAAGAGATAGGAATGCTGAGAAAGCAGATCATCTCTATCGAGAGTTGCAATGGCGATCAGAGAAAGGGAGGAAGATGGGAAGAATAGGAAGAAGAAGAAGAAGAAGATGAGGGAGAAGAGAGAAGAGGAAGATGGAGGGAGAGATCATCGTATCTGGTGAAGATCGCCACTGCCCCTCGCAGAAGAGAGAAGAGAAAGGGAGGAAGACAAGAAGAATAGGAAGAAGGTGAGGGAGAAGAGAGAAAAGGAAGATGGAGGGAGATCGCCACTGCCCCTCGCACTGGTTCCTTGCCAACATCTAGTGAAGAAGAAGGCCAGTAACAGTCAATTTGATGGTAACAACGGTTTCTCAAGTTTTTCCACCAAAGTCGCACAATTTTAGTGCGAAACCAATTTCATGATTTTGAGATCTGGCATCCCACATTTTTCTCATCCCATCCCTTTATTTCCCTCAAAAGAAATAAGAGATTTTTTTTTTTAATATATTCCACTCTTTTCATCCTCATCCTACAAACCAAACGGAGCCTTACCGATTCTGAGAATCCATCTTTTACTAAAAGGATTATGAAAATCCTCATAATTAATGAGGGAAAGCAGATAGCATACGCATTTTCCTGCGTCAATGCGAATGCGCTATCAAAATGCTCCCGCCCGCATATGGTTCATACAATACGGGACGGGATTGGGTGGGCCTAACAAGTCTGCTGAGACGTACATTCTAATTTTCAAGATAACGTAGTCCAGCTGGCAATATGCCTTGGGAGTTTGGATCTCTGACCACCATTTCTAAATTTGTGTAATTGGGTTATGCTAACAAACAAATAAACTAAGTCGGGATATTCCTGGGAAGTGGGAACAACGTACTTTGGATGCGGGAATGGGAAAGTCCAAAATGCGGATTTCATTTCATTTTCAACCCCAAAAATAAAATCTATAAATAAATAGAATGCGGACGAAGTTGCATTACTATTTACTACTCACTCGGTGAGATGGTAGCGGACCGTTTGGTTGGCGTCTTCTTTCTTTTCCTCACGGTTACAGGCGTACCTTAAAATATATATATACTACGCATCTCCCATGTTGCAGAGGGAGGACGATCTCTTTACTCTTTTTAGTGGGACCACTAAATTGTGGTTCTGCTTCACAGTCAACCATGAAATTTTAACTTACCCCCCAACCAGCCTGGTGCCTGGTGAGTCACGGGTTCACACCCTGTTTGTCCACCAATACGTACTACCATATACCACCCACCAGCCAAAAACAAAATAAACCAAAACAACAACGGATATGTTTTCTCTCAAAGCCTAAACGGAAGAAAATGTTTACTTCATATGAAACAAAGGACCCCCGGGATCTAATGGAACCCCAACTGCTTGCTTCTGTGAGATCATGGGTTCCCTTTCCCAATAATAATGACTCGGTAGAGCTGAGCTCTACTTAGACATTCAATATCAGTTTGAGAAAAAGAGACATTCATCCTGTCCTGATTCTTGTATCATCATCATCTCCCAGGCCCAGCTAATTGAACCCTGTTTAGTGTTTCTGTTCTGTTTATTGCCATCCCATTGTTAAAATGTGAAAGCATACTTTGTATGATAGTCTCTGGTAGGGTCATCCTCAAATCACCCATAGTTCCTGTTTTCAAGTTTTAACCAGCATTTTTTTCATGGCAATGTTATTTATATGCAGAAATCCTCACTTGCCAACTGAATGGTGACTCGGTTGTCATGTTAGCTGGGTAGTCCCAGATTTGAGTCCCGCTATTTCCACTTACGCTGAAAAGTTAGTGTTGTGTCAAATACCAAAAAATAAAAAATAAAAAATGAAATCCTCACCTGGCGTCATGTTATGGATCTTTAGGCTGAGAAAAAAAATCATAAAAGAACAAGACCTTTCAAGGCTTGAATAGCAAGGGACAGAAGGCAAAATGGCAAACACAATCTTGAATTTAATGAGAGAGAACATGACTCCCCACTTCTTTTTACCACAAAATTCACTTCAACCATCACTACTAGTCTTGTGACCAATTATTCATCACCATCAATACAATCAAATGACTCACCATCATTGAAGGAAATCATTTTTTTTCTTCATTTCCTAGTCCAACTTCCGGCTAAAAGTCCGGGGACTGGACTGGGCATTCATCATAGGGCCCATCATGCTGAGCTCTTGTGCTTGTCACCTTACAGTCCTACAACTCCTATTTTACAGATGTTAATTTATAAAGAGAAGAAAAAAAAAACACCTAGCATTAGAGACCCTAACTTCTCTACATAATTGATAACCGAGAATGTGGCGGCCCTCAAATCTAACTAAAAAGTTCTTCCAGGTACTCTTTTTTGTTTCTTTCTTCATCCTTGCTTCTGCCTTTGGTACTATGAACAGAAAATCAATCCATATGAACGCCTTATGAGAGAAAATTTTTGTTCCCCCTTTCTCTGCCCTGTCAACCCCTTGAATTGGGTTGAGCAGTTGTAGTAGCTGTAGGGCTACAAACAGCCTCTACTGATAATCGTTTCAAAACATTCGGGCAAGGATCTGCTCCAAAATTGCTGTTGGATATGGTTACTGCACATCTCTCCTGCCCTATGCACATCTGCGGCAAAGTAAACAAGAACCAAATGAGATATGAGAACCTAAGCCATACATTTGCATATGGATAGAACAAGGAAATCAAACATGACTAGCATGGGCAAATGGAAAACACAAGGCATTATGACACATGCAGAACCACTGTGCATGCAAGCACACACACACACACACACACACAAAAGCAAGCATAGAAACAGTCAAATATATATTTTCTCAAATTATTACTTTGCATATAGTGTGCATAAAGTTTTCTAGCATATAAATATGTTGTACAGCTAAAAAATACAAAGACAAAACAGTATATATTGTCAAGGGATGCTAGTTGACTAGAGAGGGAAAAAAAAAAGATAAAAGTTGTTCCTGTACCTTATCTAAAATGGAATATGAGGTTGGAGCATGACAAGTTCCCCGCTGAAAACTTCCACAAGTTCCCAGAGGGGTTCCAAAGCTTGCAAATTTTATGGCAGAGATGGACTGACCCGGAGCACAATGCAGGTGAACCTTGGGCCTGTGGAACTCTTCAGTTCTGTCATAGCTTTCAATTTGCCAACTCTTGATGTTTGGATGCCACTCAGAGACATCAGCACAAATAGTGGTTACCGATCTTTTAACAAGAGAAATTCGTGATGCATCTCCACCTATCTCCTCAAAAACTACCAACAAATTTTGGGTGGGCTTCAACCAAGATCTAGGCACATGATACCTGATGATCCAACATTAAGAGAATGAACACCAAGAAAAGGAGAGACACCTCCAATCCCAAGCTTATCTGGGTAGGTTATTATTAGAGAAAGCATAAAGAAAGGGGCATATGATGCAACATTGAAAGATTTCCATTCAAACACTCATTACCATCGTTGAGTTGGTTGGCCACAACCAGTTTGACACTTGGGAGGCCTGAATGTTCCAGTGTAACTACACCCATTGCAGTCACCACTCGCATGGATGGTCCAATATCTTCCAATGCTTTGACCATTGATCCATACTTGACCCTTCCCCATACTACCCATGTCTAAGGCCAATGGCTCATCTCCTTCAGGTGCATTGAAGTAAGCCTGCAAATTCCAATAAGAGTAAATTCCTAACAACAAAACTAGTATTCAACAGCTCAAAGTTGCATTAGCCCTTGTTTCCTTACCTTGTACCATGTCAATGGCTGCTGTTTCTGTACAGCTAATGATCCTCGTATCCAATCAACATTAGAAATTCTATTTGGAGACACAAGATCCATGGCTTCTCCTTTCAGGCCAACCTGTATATACATACAACATTGATAAGGCAAAAAATTCTGGATTCTATCTTGCACCACTAAAAAATGCAGAACAAAATATCCACCTGATAAGACCATTTCTGCCAAGTCAAGTCCCTTTTTCCCTCGTCAAGACCATGTAGCACAACAGGACCTAGGACTCCTGTGCTCCACATTTCATAATGTGTTCCAATATTCTTCAACCAAAACAATGAAGTAGGTCAGAACTAATTATAATTGTTTAATGATTTGATCAAGAAAGCTCAAAAGTCTTTGATAGCCTTCCAAGTTCAATTCTTGGAATGCCCAATAAAAAAGTTGCTGCTTTAACTCATCCTTGTGCTAGAAAAGGTTGCTATTTCCATCAAAATTGGGAATTTCATTCAGGCTGAACAAAATAAAATATTTCAACATTTTGAATATTTCACTGAAATTTATGTATTTTTTTATTTGTCATACATAATATATAATATACCAACATATAATAACTAATTACATTTATTCCATACACTTAGTTAGGACTTAAGTTTTATTTGTTTAATCATCTGTATTTTAAAAACCATTTTAATCATGTTTGAAATAAATGTATTTGGTGGTTTGAATTTTGTTTAGCTCAAACAAAATCAAAATTTTGTGAAGTTTCTTCAAGGTTATAAAGACCATGACATTAGCATATTCAGATACTGGGTCACTGTGCCTTGACCAAAGCAGGAAACTAATTAAAACAGGGCACCAACCGGCAATCCAACAGCTATACTGAGAAGTGCAATTCTATTGATTCCAGCACGCAGGTTGACCTTCCCTATAAATGTAAATCTTCTTTTCTCCCTTGTCCCAGAAGCAGATCCTATTATCAAGGTAAAGCAGAAACAACTTCATTTAACTTTTCAGATGAAAAAGGTAGAGAGCTTAAACCATCAAACCACAATCTTGTATAAGTGTCTAGTTCCATGAAATAAACATAAAACCAGTGTACCTGAAAGTTGTCCATTAACATAGACATGTAAAGCATGGCCAGCTGACTGCACTATGAGAGTTGGATTTTGGCCTCCACGCAAAAATGATTCTGACGAACTAATTTCAACACTGTAAACACCATATATTAAGTTATTATAACAGTATATACATGTAAGGAAATTGTTTGAATTTTTTATCTATTATTGTCCAAAAAGACTAAACTGTCAAATTTACTCTGCTGTAAATGTGTAGGCAGGGGCAAGCAGCTAAAGTTGATGGGAAGAATAAAGGAGATATCTAATGGCAGTATGATCTTCAAGTTAATCTTATCAATCCCATTTGTGCAGTTGTTTTGGAAGATAGAAACAGAATATGAGGAGCAGCTCAGTAAGGTCCCTTTATCGGATGAGCATGGCACCCCATCAGGTCATTAGTAGTATTAATCAAATTCACATCAATGCATAAAGAGAACAGATGATATAATTCTGATATAAAGGATAACCTAGCATCTCAGATTTCAAGACTTTCTATCACCATCCTTGAGAACAATATCAATATTGGCATATTGCCAAAATGCAGAGGGTCAGGACCCAACATGTTAATTTTCAGATTTAATTGATATACAGTGCAAAAGTATAATATGATAAGATCCATCCGTTACTACCCCCCCCCCCCAAAAAAAAAAGAGGGGAAAAAATCTTTACTGTATCCATTTGGTTATTGAGAATAAGAATATCTTATTGGAATTCCAGAAAAATCTAATGGCTCTGGCCAAATCATCTAATCATGCTGAATTTCTGTCCTTGCAATCTCATAGATCGGGTCCTTTCAGTGATTGTTACCAAGCCAAATCATCCATTAAAAACATTATATATGAAATAATTAAATCACTCAATGACACTCAGGGTGTAAGTATCTAAGTGTTTAATGTCTTTCACTCACCTAGTAATGTACCACAGATAGTCACTGTTATCACGGGTGACATTTATCTGCTCCAAGAGACCAACTGTGGTAATCATTGAATTGTCATCCAGTGAAGAAATATCTTCATCATATGTCTCCCAAGCGAGCAATTTAGAGTTGCTGGGTAGCATTTGCATCTGTGATGTCTGAACTCCAATCTGTGACAGAGGCATAACTAGTTATCACTTTAGCAAGTTTTCTATAGCCTTTAATTTATAAAGAACAATGAAATAATAAAAGAATAGCCATCTACATACTGTGTAAATATGTGATGTGACTCATTTAGTTTTTCGTTTGAAATAGATATCAATTAAACCAACCAGATTTTAAAGATTAGACAACTTAAGGTAAGCAAACGAGAAGCTAATGGATTTACTTACTTTTGCAGTGTTGAAGACCACATTTCTGCAGTCTGGAAGGATACTGATGGACCATGGTGGCAGGTTATAGTGCATGTTATTGAACATTACCCTTGCAGCAGAATTTGGGTTGTAGTTTGCAAGAAAAGCTGCACATCCTCCTGACCTAGAAGAGAACACATGAGCCTGGACAAAAGCCAATCATTCAATCAGGTCATAAATAAGTTCAGTTAATTATGCCAAAATCTATATTACCCAGATGCAACAAGGAGACGGTGGATACATTGCAGATTGGAGTTTAAACTAAAAATTGAAATAACCAAGAATAAAGATGTCAAATGACAGCTGAGGCAGAGAGATAATCCCGGAACAGTAAGATCACTGACCTGTTGATAGCTTCCTAAAGAGATAACAGTAGGGTCAGCTGAAACTATAGCTCGCTCACATAGCTTAATAGTTCTATGGAGCTCCTTCAGATGTCCATATTTTGGTTGCCTTATCAAACCTATCACATTTCAATGAAGTGATTAATTGGGCAGTAGCAAAACTGTCACAATCAAATAATCAATTGCATACTTGATCTGTGTTGAGAAAAACTTCAATTTTTTTACCGTATTCATCAATTGGAGCATCATAGTCATAGCTGGTAGTGATGAAAGGGCCTCCAGCAGTGCGTCCAAAGTTGGTTCCTCCATGGTACTGTTGTAAGCAGTTTCCATGGTTTAGTTATACCAAACTAGGATTTCATGTAGTAAAGGCTTGGGTTGAGGAACAAAAAGGCACAAATAAAACTAACCATATAGTAATTAACAAAGGAGCCTCCCTTTTGTATGAAGCGAGCAACTGCAAGTGCCAAGTCCTGAACTGGCCTTTGGTGAACTGTGCCACCAAATTCTGTAAACCTTTAAGTTTCATCAACAAGGGGAAAATGGTGAGTGGAGTAAATTTTAACTTCTTAGATAACAGATCTTAATGGAAGAAGTAATTTTACCAGCCACTCCAAGCCTCAGTCCACATTGCGGGCTTGTAAGGTTTGTTGGGAGAAAAGGCATCACAGTAAAAACCATTACATGCATTTATCTGTCATCATATTGGATAAGATTTAAACTCAGAACTTCTAATCTGATCAATTTAACAAACAACTGAAATGATGACTGTTATCGGGGTAGGCAATTATGTTTTTCTTTTCCCCTAAACAGAAAAAAAATGAAACATTGGTAAATAGGACAGTAAAACAAAATAACGAGGTTTTAGCCCAAGTTAAAACAACGGGTCAACTCAAGAACCAAAATCCATTAACAAATTGATGACAAAAGAACAAGGAAGTCTAACAACCTAAGATATCAAATGTGACACAAAATGTATTATATTCAAAGGAGAGATATTGCACAGCATGGGATAGATCTGTGGTAAACAGTGTAAAATCACTTACAACCGGATCTGGGGCATCATCTTGTTTGCACATGACCCATGGAACCCCAGTACCCAACTTGACGGCCATATTTGCAGCCCAGGTCATGTAAGAATAACCAGCAGACCCAAATGCTTTACTTTCTGGCCCGTACTCATTCTCAATCTGCATAAACAAAATCAGTATGGATTTGCATTATGAGCCACACCACAAATGATAAAATAGTCAACTGATGACATAAGAGCCTATATATTTCTGTGTGATTTGCTTATGAACCTTCCTGTGCATTTACCCATTAAAGAGAAGAGCGGGGGGGAGCAACTGTACAGTGCTGATATCCAAGAACTTGATATCATAAAACACTAAAATTTTCACATGCCGATGACCCAAAACCAATACCTGAGAAAGAATGATTGGGCCACCCTGGGACTCAAACAGCCTTTCGCTTTTCATCATCTGTACAATCTTCTGGGTAAAACCTTGCATTGCCATCTGCATTAAAAGGAATCGATGAATTAACAACAAAAAACTTCATAATAAATAGTTCAAAAACTAGAAACTGGATTAACTACAGTGAACATACAGAATGCATATAATTTACTCTAGTTTCCAAATTTGCTAAAGTTGCTTCTCGCTCTACTTAGCTTTGGATTACAGTGAGAAAGTAGCAGGGGTATGGGCAAAACAAAGAAAGAAAAACAGTAAGAGAAAGAAAAAAAAGGGGGGGGGGTAATATGTACATGTGATATGTACATATTTGAAGATACATATTGTAGATTGATCTATANGGGGGGGGGATAGGGGCAGTGGAGAAAGCGGAGACCTTAAAAGGCTCGTTATCTGTTCTGAAACTGATGCCTGGAACATACTTCAACCAAACAGGAAATCCTCTGCAACAGAGAGAAAGACAAGAAAAGAAAAGAAAAATATTCAGATCAAGAAAACATAATATGTAGTGTAGAAGAGCAAACACTCATCTCTAATCAAAACAAACGATATAACCAAAGAAGAGAAAAGGCCCATCTGAAATCAAAATATTTCACTGTATGACAAAAAATGAAGATCTACAGGAGAAGAAAAAGGGAGAAATGTAAGTACCCAAAATTCCATTCTCCACAAATATAAGGCCCAATTCGGAGATGAACATATAGCCCTGCCTTCTGCACTGTCTTTATGAACCGAACCAGATCGTATCTCCCTTCGAAGTTGTACTGAAACCCCAACAGAAACCAGAAGGAAAGAAATACAGCAAGAACACTCAATGTAGGCTAAAATCAAAGATTGCGGAGAGAGAGAGAGCAGAGAGAACCACGAGAACCACATACAAAAATTAAAAATGAAGAGTAAGAAAGGTACATTGCCGGGAGACGGTTCGTGCACATTCCAGAAAACGTATGTCTGTATAACATCCAACCCGCCCTCTTTAGCCTTCTGTATAAGATCTCCCCACATCTACAGAAACCCATTTCAACCAAACAACAAAGTTTCAGGAAAAATACATAAAACCAACTGCATTCAGCATTCTCCGGAAAGAGAAAATCATGAAAGGAACTTTAGAAATGGAGCCAAGAAAAAAAAAAAAAAAAGGAAAAAGGTAACTACTTCAGGGGTGCTTCTGGGGTAATGTATGGATCCGGAGAAGAGGATTCTCCTCTGCCCATTAATGATAATAGCTTTCCTATCGTAAGTCACACTGCACTCGATCCATTGCAAACCCAGAGACAGAACCAAGAAGAACAAGAACAACTTGGAAACTGAGGTGGTTTCCATTTTCACTTCGTTTACAGAAGTGAGAGTCTGTCAGAAATCTACACTTGAATGAGAGGGAAGAAATCACATTAAAGAAGGAGAACAGAGAAGGAACGTTTCTCGGTTACCACTCTGCAACAACAATAACAGGGTCCATTCTTCCCGGAGTCCCCTCACCCATCATTTTACTATTATATATACAGTCTCAGATGTAAAAGCCTGCATGTCCACTTAACAGTAAAAATCTGTAAAATTTATGGGCTTTTAAAAAAAAAAGTAAAATTAATGGACTTTCCCAGCATTTAGAAAAATGGAAATTATTAAAAAAAAACTCCCTGAATTTTCCATCCTTTTTTCTCAGTAATCCATAACCCCTCCCACCCTAATTCATGACACTATTGACAGAAGATTTGAGTATACGAGTCCTCAATTCTCTTCTTATAACTTCAACACGTAAAAGAGTAAAGGTATTTACACATTTTTTTCAAAATGTTAGAATAGATTTTTTGTCTGAATAAAAAAACATAAGGGAGGTATATAAGATTATCAGAAAACCCAAAAGTGGTTTATGTAATTTTCTCTTAAAAATATATTAATTATAATAAACCCCTTTTTTCTTTTAGTTTTCTCTTATTTTAAATATCTTTTAGTCTACCTACCCACAAGCTAGATAAACTGTTTTTGTGTACCATTGTGGGAAAAATAGGAAAGGTGTACAAGCTAACTACTATGTTCTGTAAGTGGAAAATAAATCATATGAAGAAATAGTCCATGGAGACATGGGGTTTCAGTTAGACATTTACTTTGAAAACGGTTACTTTGCCCGAGTAAAGTGATCAACCAACTTCGGCAGGGACTGAGAGAATCGTAGACCAGAACCATCATCTATAAACTTGGTCTCTGTTACCTTCTTATTTCTTAGTCTCCTTCATTTTATTCATTTATTTATTTTGGCGAGGGCTTAATGAATACTTCTGTCCTTTGCATGTGCTCTACCTGTACTCTATTGTCCTTTATTTACTCCAAAGGAAGGCTTATTTGTCTTGCAAAGTGCATTAGTTACTAATTTATTATTAAAATAACCAACATAAAACAGAGCCTAGCTATGATATTAGAGTAATAATAAAAGAATAGTGAAAATTGCAGGATTATGATATTAGATGCTTCAATAATGACCACAAATAGATTGGGTGCTTCATTTGCTGCTTTTGTCTCGGGGGATTGCCTTTTGGGAAAAAAAAAAAAACATGAAATGATGTGAGAGTGAGAGTTAGACTTCTAGATTCCCCCTCCCCAATAAAAATAAACACCAACCCCCTCCCCTCTTCCTTTATAATTGAGATATGCTCCTCACATAACGCGTTTCATACCAATCTCACAATCACATCCCACCGTGTATTGAGAACATCTTCTCATGAATAATAATTTCTGATGTATAACTAGAACATGCTGTGAGATCAGTGTGAGGCTCACTCGTGAGAAACAGATCCAATCTCCTTCCTTTATTCTTCCTCAAAGCCTTGCCTTTCTCTTTCTCTTTCTCTTGTATATTATTAATCTATCTCCCATGTTTTGTGTTTACATGTAACTATCTAACCATCAAAACTCCAAAAACGTAGCTGTCAAAGTCACAGGATTCATTTGCCTTGAAGCTTCTTCAAGGAAACCAAATTATTTTTCTTTTCTTTTTTTTTTTTTTTTTTTGTATGGTGGTGTGTGGTACACAAACATACCATGATGCTGGAAGCCTTGAATGAAGTACATGGTTTATAAGCAGAGGAATCAGGTCTCACCGTGCATTGGGAACATCTATCATACTTATCATGGGGATATATTCTCAATACATGGGTAGGTGGTGCTGTGGGGGGTCAATGTGATCTCATCTAGATGGACCATGATTGGATCATGGGTTGTCTTCTATTCGTAAGAATCAAGATAGATAGGGACCAGGGAGTGAAGGGTCTTGTGAGGGGCATCAATTGGATGCCTAGGATCCCTTCCCTTTTCTGCGCCTACTTTGGTGGGCATCTTGATCTTTTCTCCATGTAAACCCTGATACAATTAATAGCACCCAACCCTTACAATACACAAGCACTTGAAACATATTCATATGTAAGCATCTGATCTGATGTAGTATTAGTGGTTGATGGAGAGCCAGATTAGTAGCACTACAGATTGGTATGATAGTACCACTGTTTGGCTCACATGGTGTAGTGTGGGTTGATATGTAAATTATAAAGAAAATCTGTTTTAGCTTTTGGTTTGTTGACTGCTCATTTGTTTCTTTTGGTCTTCAAGGGCGGGAAGGACGGGTGATGGGGAGACGAGTCGAGAGAATCGAGAGAGTCGAGACCCTAAACAATGGGCCCGGTTCTGGCTCCATAAATTCTGACATTGGTCAGCCACATGGCTAGACCGGGGAGCAACGACTTAACGATCAAGTGTGTCTTTACTCTTTAGTCTCACTCTCTGGTTATATATATATTATTTATATAAAATTAATTAATAGGAGAGAGTGATTGACCATGGTTAGTTTTATTATTAAGAAAATAATAATAATGACGCATGTGAACCACTTATTTTATCATCACTAATGTTGACTTCATGAGAGGTATACATGTTATTAATAAAACTATTTGGCAAGGGATCTTCAGAGGTTTTCAAAAAAATTGGATAAATTTAAGAGACTGTCAGAAATTTGAAGAGGAATTTCAGATAATAACCCTTAATTTGAATAATGCACCTTCCTATAATCCTATTGGAAGGCATTTTGGCAGACAACAAATAGTTTAAAAGGAATTGGAACCCTAAAAAACAGTTCTGGTAATGGATCGATCCTGCATGCTCCCTCGCCATCCACAGGGTTGCAAAGAGAGAGAGAGAAAAGATATGGACTTGATTATAGATTAAGGAATCTCATGAGTAGATCTGTTCATGGGCCAAGTTTTGGGCCTAACTTTTCATTATATCGGGTTTGGGTTTTGGGTTAGATCTATTTAAATTGACAAAAGTCAAGCCCGAGCTTAACCCATGAGTTGTCAGAATGATGGATCGGGGACAAAAATAAATAAATAAAAATTCCTTTTTTTTATAGTAATTACATATTTACACATTTAGAACTTAGAAGAGGATTAAGGGGTCCAGAGAGAGTAGGATATATGTGAGGTCTATTGAATTTTAATTATACTTACACTAGTGAGGATTCGTGTGATGTACGAGTTTTGTTATGAGAAATTAAACTAGAAGGACCCTTACGATATTTTCAATTTGGCAAGTCAATTTTATTTTTAATTTTTTATTGAATACTTTTAAAACTTTATTCATGTAATTATTTTTCAATGGATATTAAATAATAAACATCTCAACTACACTAAAGAAAAAACTCACTTGTTGAAGGAATCATACTTAGTACTATAACTGCAAGGTTCAGACTGTCAATACAGCCCAATATGTTACAAGGGGTGTATCGACTTTGAACATGGCATTTTTTTTTATTATTTTGAAATTTCAAAGGGGTTGAAAAAAATGTATTTAACATTTAAAATAAAAACATCATATCAATGACCTGTTGGATGTTGATACAATATGTATCAATACAATGTGATAATATAGGGCAATATGTTGCAAAATTTTGATCCTAATCCGAACCCACCAAGAAAATTATTCATGAAGCTGTGTTTGGTTTGAAGAAAAAAGTAGAAAAATCTTTACAAACCTTGTAATTTTTTTTTCATTTCCCTACCTTTTTCTTCAAACCAAACATAACCTAAAAAAAAGAAACTAATATAAATGGTGTATTAGCGCTTACGTATAGGATCTGCTAACTAGGTATATATTTCATAATTTTTGTAGGCAGTTCCACAAGTCCGAGTGTGCGACGCAATTAGTCTATGTTGGTTATCAAATATCTGACACAAGTAAACAACTGGATCGTGGATACCAAACCCCATTTCGGAGGACCATTAATCAAACAAAGCTTTAGGAAAGATCCATTCCTTCTTTTATTATTATTATTTTTTTTTTTACTTGAAAGCTGTGATTACAATTCTTATCTTTTCCAACATTTTCTATAGTTTTTTATTTTATTTTATTGTTTGCGTGTTGTCGGAGCCAGAGCCATTACTTGTGACTTGTGTGTCGGGGACCATACATTGAACAAATGAACGCATCCAAATCCCCGCATTTAAAATTCCGTCCTCCATTTCTAATTCCTCCTGATCATCAACTCCCACGATCTGAAATCTGAATGCTCGCGATGAATTCGTAAGGTGGGCCACGGGCCGCGTGGGTGTTCAATGGACTCTGATCTCAAGAAAAAGTTTGTCATGTGGAAGATCCGTTATCAAGTCACAATATAAAGTGGATAGGAGAGGCCTAACAGATATATAGTGGTAGTTGTTAATGGGGGCCCATGAAAAAGCGCGTCGGTGCACATGTGATGTGCCATGCATGACCTCCACGAAGTCTCTTTCACATTAATTATTGAGACCGTTGCAACTCTTCTTTCTCTTCGATTCGCAGAGTCCACCCTAGATATTTGATAGTGAGAGAAAGTAAGAAGAAGAAATTATAGACCAGTCGGAAGAGAGATAGACTGTAAATTAATATCAGTTAAATGGCAGGAAAAAAGGATAAAACTAAAAAAATAAAAAAAACAGAAAAAACGGAGAAAAAGGAGATAGACCATTTTCACTTGTGAATTGAATTTTACATTTTTTTTTAAAGAAATATTAAAAAATATAGTGAAAATCATAGTACAGATACGCCATAAGCTATTGCTTCCCACTACTCAGTCGCTTACTCTGTGTGCAAGATATGTGTATTGATGGTTGCAGATTTATCAATATTGTTTCAGATGGCTCTACAAGCACTGTAGCAATGAAGTACTACCACTCGGGGAATTATTATAAATGAAACACATACCATATGTGGCACATTTAAAAAATAGGTGGGTCCACTAAATGGACCCAAGATTAGGGATGCTCATGGTTTGGTTAACCAACCCATGGACCAATATTTGAGACCGAACCAATTTTATGTTTTTTTTTTTAAATATCAAATAGAAGCTGAATCAAATCAATTAGCTAAGGTTTTTGAAACTCAATTGCACAACGAACCGTTTAGGGGTCTGGTTTTGGGGTTGAATGGTCCGACCGTTCAAACCAAATGGATAGCCGATTTAAAAAAAAAAATAA